TCCAATTAGAAGTTAACTAAATAAGGATAGTCTAACAGAATTATCCTAACATAGTTATTTCTACTGTAATACAGTATTTAACACTGTAACAACTGGCTTATGCGAGTTCCTACAGCAAATTGTCTATGCTTTGCTTGTTGTCTGGCATATAGTATTGAGTGAGAAGTATCGTGGCCCTATAGGTATCTACTCGTATACTTTATAAATCAGCAAAGAGTAGATTATGAATTCATGATAATATAGTATGGCGATCAGGATAACTTTTCACTGACGATACAGTTACAAATCGACTTCTCGTTTGCTTCGAATTAGAAAATGATAAATTTTACTCTAGCACACCTGAGCTCTACTTTGTCCTGATCATGTACTTTTAGCTCTTAGTTGTTATAACTGATTGGATGATATTTAAATTTTTTTTAATTGATCTAGATGGTAAGCAAGTTTTTAGAGTGATATCCTCATTATCGCTACTTTAGGTAGTACCAGTAACCCTTAAGATAGTGATAGCTGAAGTTAATTCCCTATTATATAATATCTTGAGATGTTGAAATTACAATCTGCTATTCCCATTGCAAATTTGCAACACAAAGCAAATATAGAGAAATATTTATGACTCAGTACATCACCTGGGCATTATTTGTAGCTACTTGTTTTGCTTATTTAAAGCGCAACTCTTCACAATAATAATTTTAGGCTTTATCTTCAATTTAAACGACACAGTAATAGGCTTTAATTAACTCTAAGGAAAAACATTTATTACGTAGAGAAGATTTTATTCAACTCTATCTATTTTGAATATAGCATTACTGCAATCATGATGGACATTATTGAAGATTGAATACGTGCTTACTGATACAAGATAGCTATTTCTTTCCAACATTATACATAACAGTGATATACCACAGCGTAAGACAGATATATTAATGGCTGCACTCTTTATTAACATTAATACTGATGATTTTTTATTTTGAAAGCGAGAGAGACACTATAGTTAACATCCTGTATATTGTGTAACAAGTAATTTTATTACTAATTCTACGTAGCTCGTTTAAAATAGTCGCCGAAATTAAGATTTGAAATATTAATTCGCTAGTTTCTAATACCATAGTTGTAAAGAAGTTAGATATCATACATCCTTATTGATTAGGGCTTTGGATTGAATTTAGTTAAAGCAGTGATGAAAACATTCAAATCATTTTTCTTGAGAGTGATTAGGTGCAAATAGTTTATTCTTTACTAAACGTCGAAATATTTTCTAATGTATTTCCTGAAACCATTGGTTATCCACGGTCCTTCACCAAAACCAGATTTAATGTATTGAAATGAGAAAGCAAGATTTGGGTAGAGAGCATAGTACCTGTTTTCATGCTTGTAGCAAGAGCCAACTACCCTTGCCCATTTAGATAGGCAAGATCAAGAAATTACAATACTAATGATATTTTCGACGATTAAAGTAGTATCGGCCTCGAAAGTAGTGATTAGAGCCATCACTAGGTCTGTAGCGGCGTCGTCGACTAATAAACACATTATATAGATGACCTGGTAAACTGGAAGTAGGAATAGGACGACCAAAATGTCTAATAGAAGGCCATGACAAATAATGGCGACGACGGCGGCGACGACGACGACGACGTATCCACTAGTTAAATAACAATAAGCAAAATACACACGAAGCGAAAATCAATTTATAGCTTTACGTGGCTCATATTCATCGATCAGCGTCGCAAGCATTTAAAATCGACGAAAGATACTTGTTATACTGTCTTAGCCATCGTCGTAGAAAGTAGAATATTTTTATAGGTAGTAATTATCAAGTCTCTATTAACTAAAGGCATCTGTTGCATGAAATGAAATGAAATTGACATTTGAACTTACATGATGTTTCTCCGTGGCCTCTTCAGCAAGTCGGTCATCGTCTGCCAATAGATCATCTTGGGCAATGTCTTGATCATTCGCATTATGAGCTAAACTATCTTCTAGGGATGAAATATCCTCAACGTTGAATTCTCCGTTAATAAGATAGTTTTCATCATAGTTTGCATGTTTTTCTTTATCATGGGGTCCGTTAATAGTAGCAAGGCTAGCATGACTGAGAGAAGCCTGGTGAAGAAAGAATATGGCATACGCGAGTATAATTAACGCCTTCATTATTTTCGTTCTTTAATCATCTGCGCGGGGAAAAAATTGTCATAACCTAAGTCGTATATCGATCAGGGATCTAATTTAACAGAAATAGTTATCGTACATTAATACTGTAGCGCCAATGATCGACAGTATGCTTGAAGGCTACACTTCATTAGGAAAGTAATGAAATTCATTTAATACATTACCAATAGGAATAACCGACACCATGTAAGTTTTTGCAGAATTTTATTGATGGACGGTAATATTAGCATTAACGTTGATGATTGTGACCGAAGGCCATGAGTTCGATTGGACGAATAAACGTGATAGTACAAACATTTATACTGACTGATGAGTAATATCCTTTAGCGGGAGGTAAGAGCATCTAATTCAATCCAATATAAAATAGCTTGTTGTCTACCATTTACGATTGATTGAATAAGGGAATACGGTACACTGTTATTGCAGCAAACAAAATCATTTTATTTACTACTCCCAAGTATGCTTTTCATCATCACCGCTTGATACCTATTCTTTTACTATTACCAATGGAATTAAAGAATTAGGCTTGATATTGATGAATACTATTTTGATTGTTTGGATCATGTATTACAGGCATGCTTTGCCGACACAGCTGTATCATACTACAGATGAAATAGTGCTGGTGAGATTATTTCAAGACTAAACTGATGTCCGGCCATATTAAGAATGTATTCGGCTCGATCTATACTTATATAGGAGTTCTTTCGAAGAGTGAGTATTTTACGATTTTCAGGATGTTATTGCAAACCATTTTTGTTTGATTAACGCGTCGATCGTACTTTATTCATGAACTATAAATTAACCAATAGCTCTTAACACGTAGTAAATGGGTTATCAAGTAATAACAGAATGCAATTATTTGAATTAATTCATGGATTACTAAGCTAGATGCACCAATATTCACGCATCAGCCGAGTATGCAGACGGTCCATTCTAAATGGACTGATTGTTACTAAATTATTATAATTCATATTGCATGGAATCGGTTACATCGGATTGCCAGCAGAACTTTAATGTAACCGTTCTTCTTACCTCTATGGCTACATGAAAGTTCTGCTAGGAAACAGCTACAGTATAATTGTGCATAGGATTGTCAATGTTTATTTAATTGAATTTCTAGTGAATAAATTCAATTAGGACCTAGTGATTTGGGGAAAACAGACAAGGAAGATCCATACTAAATAGTTATTGTTCCCCTTTTTCGGCCATATTTGGTATTGTAGAAAAGTCTGTCCGCCTGAGGGGAGGTGATCAGTCCAGCTGTCCACTGTCCAGGTCTTCCTCTAACACCGTGAGTACTGTACACAGTGTGTACTGTACGAGGAAAGTAGAGATGACATCATCTTTTCTTCAGGTCCTTGGCGTCCAGTTGTCCATGGATTATACAGTTCATTAATGAATGTTCTACCTATGTGTGTTTACTGTCAATCTATCAATAAAACCTCCTCTTTATCCTTTCATCACTTTTAACATCAATCATTTTATACTGCAAGAATCATATTACACTGTAGTCTTCAGGTTAGAAGTCTGTATTTTGCAATGCTGTCATCATACTATAGAGTAGAATAGTATCGATTAGTCCTTGAGTGTGCACTGTACAGTATGCACGCCAGTGTCCTGCATTGGACTTGTTATTTTGTACACTGCACTGTCATGGACTACTGGAAGACCTGGACTGTTCGCTCGCCTCGGACAGACGGACGTTTCTGGCCGATTGAGGTCGTCAATATTGAAAAATGACTACTGTACTGTACAGTGTACAGTACACTCAGTGTACAGTGTACACTGTACAGTACTGTAGTAGGAACGGTCTGTGTCTGTCCGTCCAAGAAGCGATCAAGCGGTACAGACGTACAGTACAGTACAGTCATGGACTACTAGAAGGCCTGGACTGTTCGCTCACCTCGGACAGATGGACGTTTCTGACCGATTGAGGTCGTCAATATTGAAAAATGACTACTGTACAGTGTACACTGTACAGTAACAGGAACGGTCTATGTCTGTCCGTCCAAGAAGCGATCAAGCGGTACAGACGTACAGTACAGTACAGTCATGGACTACTAGAAGACCTGGACTGTTCGCTCACCTCAGACAGACGGACGTTTCTGACCGATTGAGGTCGTCAATATTGAAAAATGACTACTGTACTGTACAGTGTACAGTACACTCAGTGTACAGTGTACACTGTACAGTACTGTAGTAGGAACGGTCTGTGTCTGTCCGTCCAAGAAGCGATCAAGCGGTACAGACGTACAGTCATGGACTACTAGAAGACCTGGACTGTTCGCTCACCTCAGACAGACGGACGTTTCTGACCGATTGAAAAATGACTACTGCAGCAGGAACGGTCTATGTCTGTCCGTCCAAGAGCGATCAAGCCATACGCTGTACAGTGTACAGTACTGAATAGTGTATACTGTACAGTCATGGACTACTACTGTAGAAGACCTGGACTGTTCGCTTACCTCAGACAGACGGATGTTTCTGACCGATTGAAAAATGACTAGTAGGAACGGTCTATGTCTGTCCGTCCAAGAGCGATCAAGCTGGACGCTGTAGTGTACAGTACAGCACCTACAGTACTCTGAATAGGGGGTGGGCTGCGATCTGGTTGGGCAGCCGACACCAAAACGGTTGGTAGGTTAGAATAATATTGGTGTAGCGGAGTTGACATAAATTGCCAATTTTCTTGAACGTCGTCGCTGCAAAACCCAAGAGTGGGATTGAAATACTTATAGCTGAGGACTTGTAGATTGAATATGAACCACCAGTAGTCTGCCATTGCTAAAGAAATTGAAAATCGTTGGGTGTTTTCCTTCAAGACGGTGATCTATGTTGTAGTGTAGACTACAGTACAGCAGGAGGACATTAGGCGTCGCCATTTCTGACAGTCAGCACTATTTTTGTCAATTTGCATAGCCCACTAATTAGGAATAGTTAGCGAGTGTTGGCGACTGGAGAGAATAAGGTCAAGTAGTTGTATTCCTTTTCCATTGATTATTACTGGAAAAGCCTATATTATATAAGCATCCACTCGTCCATCATCGTCATTAGCGCTGTTACTCCCTCTGGCATTTTCGTTGTTTCCAGTGCTCTTGTAGTTGGCCTATCGTTCAAGATGACTTCAATGAATTGTACCTTGTTTCAAGGAGATCAAAGTAAATGCGTAAGTATCCTATCCAGTGTAATGGCTAAAATGCATGCTATCAGTACTATACATGGATTAAACAGCCTACTTTAAGCTCCAGTAGACTACTATCCAAAGAAAAATACACAAAACGATAAAATTACTTCAAAGTGTCCCTGTAAGAAATTAAAATAGACAGTAGACTAGAGTGCTATACTGTACAGTTGAAACCAAGCACTGTCCCATCTCGTCAGTAGGAATCTAATTGACTTGCTTGATGAAGACATAAAATCATTCAAGAAATTACTCTTGTATCCTTGATCATTGGTGTCACCTAACCAATTTTACTGTACTACAGATCAATCTATCCTAGGATTAATTATTATCGATCAAATCCAATACTCTAGTAATCCCAATGTGGAGGGGTGTTCCTTATTTTGAAGTCTACGGCATAGACACAACTGGATTCATTGATTATCGTAACTGTATACAGTACATATGATTCAAAGCCAATCGGGCAAAATGGCTTCTTTCAGCGTATCATTACATTCTAGGGGTAATGAAACGAGTCTAACTTGTACAGCATGTTCAATAGCACATTGACTTGATGAAAATTTTGTTCTATTTTCAATTCACGATTATCACAAGACATGTTGCTGAGTTGAACTTCGAAGAATTAGTTTTCGATAAGGTGCCAATTAACTGAAAATGACAAGCTTTGAAAACAAGTGGAATAAAGTAAAAATAGACATATCTATGTACAGTACTGTTTTCCTCTGTAGTTGACGCCAGTAGCAGTAATTTATAATCATATCAACTTCGAGTCGAGCCTTGGGGATACCGAAGCTTATTAATGGAATAGAAGAGAGGATAGATGGATTTTAGGCAAGGACTAGAAAATGACACGATGCAACGATAGTTTGACAAATCATACTATAGCAATTGGTATCTCCATTATCTTATCCTAGACGTAATGACCCCAGTATACGTGTCCATAAATCGATATTGATGTAATGATAGCTGTAAATAAAGCCATCCAATTCGGTAATGTATTTATCGTTTATTTATAAATGAATGTCTATCTAGAGAACCGAAAGACTGAATGGCTTAGCTTGCAGTAGTGATCTACAATTCGTTCTAATTAAATGCTAAGGAGATGTATAACTTTTTATTTCACGTTTTTTGTGTAGTCTACCATCGTAATTGTCAAAAGAATTTTGGCCTCCATATCCATTGTTGGCAGGTACGCCATGTCACGATGATTGAATTTGTTATGATGATGATGATGATGATATTTATGTTTCCGAAAGCAACAACTAAAAGCAAGTGTGAGATTTTAGAATCGGCTATACCTTACCTTATTGCGTGCGAGTTTATTAAATAATGAACGACAGTGAATTAAATGTACGCATGATATTCAGGTAATTAATAAGGTGATAATTCGGTTAATAAAGTGTATGTCGTAGTCCTGCAAGTCCCGCTCCTCTAACATACGGTAGCTATAAGTAGCATATAAATTTTTTCACTTGTTATTCTGGCTTAAACGCATATTGTAATTTTACCATAGCGTAGCAAGGCTTGTTGAACTGTTTGCCTTATCGTTGTTTATGGAGCCAATAACAATCACATTGCTTTAATAGATTAACTGTGAAGTAAGGCAGATTAAAAATGCGGTGTAAATGTTTGCAATTTAGCATCTGCTAGCTGCTTTGGCTGATGAGAATGACAAAGATACACTGTAACTTATACAATGCAATCAAAGATACTAGCTTTAGACTCCCATACGTACAGTAGTACAGGTGTGCTGTGATAACTTTCAATGAATACTAACCTTATGTCAAATTTTCGATACTACAGCTTTGCAATGATCTTTTTGATTTGGCTATTCAATAAACACCAGTTCTTTGCCCAGGTGCGATAAACATTTTAAAATCCTTCTTATTCTTAATTACTGTGCAACTAGAAATTTGGACCATGTACTTGTTGTTACTAATATCCATTATTTGCTAAACAACAGCGATTACTTTTGTTTCTGAGCATTGCAGCGTTATTAGACAGCGTATCTTATGTTATGGTAAGTACCAATTTCATGTACCAGATTGTATAGTACTAGATATTAGGAATTTTGTAGGACATAAATCTTGAAGATCAATAGTAAAGTTAATAGTTACGTAATGAATTGTAAATACTAATTATCAAATTGTATTGTTAATCGACTTTGTAGTTTACTGTAGGCTTTAGACAAGTCTCTTTCAGCGTTATCCTCATGGAAAAATGATGAATTATAGATTATAATGTATATGTTTTTCACAAAGTATTGCTATTTTCTTTCTATTTAATGGTAGGGTGATATTCAAGAAGCTGGTCCTTTATGTACTTTTGAAGCAGTAATGCTATCGATTTTTGGTAAGTTAGCAGTTACAAGAGTTACATAGTTATTGTTCGCATGTGTCCAGATAGTCTATTTTGAGAGTATTACTGTTCTACACGTATTGCCATGCTGTCGTTACCGTATAGTAATATTGCTATTTGTTATTACGCTTATTATTTCATGATTAATTACAAAATATTTGAATGTCTTCCATTTGATTAGACTGGGCTGTACTTTTATGGATTACAATAATAACCTTCAATTTATATTGGAATGCTGTAGCTAAGAAAAGTACTGAAAGATTTGAAATGTATGTCATTCTTACTCGTTTCTTTTTGCCTAACTATCAATACGATACAGCCTAATAATGAATCACTTTAACATACATTTTGCAGCGTGTACTGTATACAGTCCTATCATTAACAAAGATATTTCCGTAGATATTAACAACCTTACAATGCCTATAGTGATAGCCATCGTGCTATGTCGCATGTGCATCCATAACTTTTGTATTTATCGGATTTATTATGTTTCACATGATGACGCTGTAGCTACTACCATCTTGTTGCTTGGGGTGTTCCTGTTGTCATAAGTGTATTACCATTCATTGGCAATCAGTATGGACCAGCTGGCGCTTGGTGGTAAGTAAATATACTTTGAAAACATAGCATACAGATTCTATGTACTTGCAGAACTGTCAATACTTACGTGTTGTATAACGTATCAAATTTTTGTCGCTTTTATTATGTCTTCAATTTAAAACTAGCTGGATAAAAAACAACACTCCCTGGCGCTTCGCTATGTAAGATCTAGGCTTTAAACAATTCTTTACTGTTGTATAATTGCAAATGATGACAACTTACAAACTTTCGAATTTATCTCATTATAGTTGGTATGGCCCATTGTTCTTGATAATTTTCGCATTATTTTGCGTATACCTTTATATTTTTATATATATTAGAAGACAGGTGATTAGGATTATAATACCTAATTTAAATGATGTGATGAAATTTTGGAATTAAATAGTAAATTAAAATGTTTAAATTCCACTTCTAGGCGACTAGGTGGACGGGTAGCTACGATCCTGAAATAGAAAGAAATAGAGTAAGTCAAGTGCATAGTTTTAAACTGTTATAAATTAGTTTGCTTTACCGTAATCGTATCTAGGCTATCAGAGTACTTCTACCACATCTTTACATAGACGTACCAAGTATTACAATTACATATATATATATATATATATATTATTGATGACAAGTATTGTTATCCATCAATCAAATAGGAACTAATGCGGAAAGAAGTTAGGCCTTTGATGGCGTACCCTTTCATATATTTGTTACTTAATATATGCCCACTAATAAATCGGTAAATCGACTTTGCATTTTGGACAGTAAACTGTTACCCTAGTTTTTACGGATGAAATTCTACTAAACACATTTTTTGTAGATTTTACTAATATTAAGATATAATTGATAGGATACAAAATGCTGCTAGACCAAGCCATGCTATTTTTATTCTTTTTCTGTTGCAAGTTATTTCATCAAGCTTGCAAGGTTAATAAATTTTTGTATTAAGAAATTGTTCAACGTAGCTCTAGCTTTTTCCTTCTGTGAAGATAAATCGATCCATGTTGACATTTCATCTAGGCGCTGTGAATGCTATTGTATTTGGTATGGACAGAGAAACATTTAATCGCTTAAATTGGGCAGACTTAAGGGTTAGCACTTAATAACTTTTAATGTATAATTTGTGCTAAGTAATAGCTTCACTGTTTGTTGTTATGCATATTACTATTAGAATTAACCATAAGTTAGCTTCACAATACTTATAATGTTCTGACTGCTTGATACCGTGCGATTTTATCCTAACAGTGCCTGTTTGTACGAGATATAACAGTAAATTGTGGAATTTTACTTATTTTAGAATGCTTGGTCGCAACGCTGTTCTAAATCGGTTGTGAGGGAATATCCTGTTATTAATGAGAGTAGCCATTTAGAAGATAATGAAGAACTATCGGATGGAAATCCCAGTGCTTAACTAAATCAACTCAATAAATTTAACCTGTACATTTCAGTTGTAATTAGTGAAGATTATAAACGAGTCAAAAATACGTATCTAGTAATGTATACAATCTGAGTGACTGTTACCTATTTAATTCTTTCTCAGTTTCTTTTAATTTTACGTAATAACGTGTTTTACGACATCAAACTGGAGGGTTGTATTGAAAATGTAGTATTTAGAATAAAATCGGACTTTTAGATCAAAACTGGTTTCATGCTAGATAATAATGAGTTATGAGATATTTTGGAGGCTACAATTAGCCAAAGTGATTTCCATCCTAAATTAAGCTTGGTGGAGCGAAATATTTCCATCAGCTCAGACTGTCGCAATAAGAATTTTTGTAATAGTATGCAATAGTGTTGATCGTTTGCAGGGACTTGTCAATCGTATATCGAAATTACAGTGGAAACTGAAATACATATGAAATCTTACCACAAACTTGAGTAGTATACGAGTTGTTTAATAACGGAAAGGATAAGTAATAATAGAGTATTAGTGCATAGATATAATTATTTAAAGTGTGGCACACGTCGGTGCTAATAAGAATATATTTCCAGTGAATAATTTTATTCTGATCACTGTAACATACTTGATCATATTCCTGTGTCTCAGATCATATCATCGAATTTAAAGCATATAGAAAATCTTGCAATCTGTCGTTAATTGCTCACAGATCAATATAATTTATATGTTGAGGTAATATTAATAGTATGATCGGAGTATCAACCCATTTCTTGACATCATTGTAACATATACAGAACAGGACCTTACTCGATTATAGTTATTACGGGCTGCTTAATCCCAGAAACTACTGTATTGCATAGCGCAGTCGAACAACTTTTGTATATTTTCATAGCTACAAAAATAATCAATTGAGATAAACAGGTATAATATGATAATCTACTGCATAAAACAAGACATAGCCAATATATATATTTTTAAGTAGCTGTGAATCGTAAGGCCATTTTTGTCTAAAAAAAATACGCGTACGTTGATCAAAACGTTTATCGCCATTATTGCTATATTTCCATCTGTAGCTTTCATCACTTCTCTTTCCAGTTGCCTTTTAAACTTGACAATTGCTAACCCAGTCAAAAGATGAAACCAGCCAATTACAGCTGCTTTCTTGGAGATGAAAGTAATTGCGTAAGTGTCCAACTTCTTCTCATGCAATGGGTAATTAGAGCCCGATTCTAATGACATTAAAATAATTTAAAAGGGTTATGAGCCGAGATATTAGGCAATATTATAATAAAGTGGATAGAAATAGCGCATATTACTCTATTCGGTGGCCGTGTACTTTCATTAGCTTATTGTTACGGTGCTATACTCCCTAATAGCTGTGCTTAAATCTTATTACTTATCTTAGCTTGTGTGGATTAATTGATGGTAGACTGTAATCATTCATTGTTGGAAGAAATCATGATTATTTACACCTAATAAATATTTCACAAAGCGCTAATTGTGCCTAGCTATGGTATCTGATAATGCTCGGATATGAACCTTTAAGATCGAGTAACAATATAAAGGAACGAGCGATTAACTGCAAGTTAGTCAGCTCTTTTTAAAAGATTCTTATAACTGTCAGTTCTTCGATGTGAGACTGCTTGATAATAAAGTAGTTATATTTTTATTAAGCACATTTACTGGAGGTAGAACTATGTACGAAGATCCACAGAGTTAGTTGGAGATCTTGGTATACGACGGCATCGCTAGAATAATTATCTAAGACCCGCTCGCAACCCAAATTGTGACATTTGTACATATTATCATTTAGTATTTTAATATAGTGTCTTTTACGAATTGTTGTATGTAGTTTGTTGTGCATAAAAATCAATACAATATAAGATTGCAAAGTTTCTGTCAATAATAATCACGTTTGCAAAGATATTCACTGATAATTACTACCACAGTTTTGCACTCGATACTAATAGCGTGACTTTACATAATCCAATTCTAGCTAATACTGAATAGATCAATATAATTTTGCTTAGACGAACATCTTGCTTGTCAAAAGAATCTTGGCTTCATTATCCATTGCTGGCAGGTTAGTAATGCTGTATTGACCTTGATGCTTATGCTTTCGATAATAATGACGATAATATAACACAATCCATCAAAACTAATTTTTTTCTATGCTCGTTGAAGGTAATTAAAACGATAATAAGGCATTATAGGTGCTTCAGGATCTTAAAGTGCCAAGTAATTTCTAGCTTTTACGATAATAAGTCATCTTTAAATCATAATTTTATCTACGATCACATGCAGTAAAAGTATTGAATATATTTTGGAGTTCGTATCGAATTAAGCAAAAACGTTGATAAAGGACAAAACCTTGCACTCTTGCAACAGAAATTGTATATCGCAGACGTGATCTTCAGTTTACGTATTACTTCCATGATTGAATATTAGTTATACTGGTGGAAAAGCTGCACAATTTACAGTATACAAGTATGTCGTTCGTGCAAAATGGCTAAATTGATAGAAATTTTAAACTTTTAATTTGACGGGGAGGGGGAATGGGACTGCTGGAAATCATAATACATTAATAGAAAAGGTCTAGGCTGAAAATAGAGAGTATGTATTTAATACTGAGATTAGAAAACCGTTGTTACTTATAAAAGTCATCTAGATATACAGCACATATATGTATCAATATGAATTTAGACTAAATCATGAACAGTTGTATATATGTAACATATATATATACTGCATAATTAATGATGGCAGCTTTTGCACTATATGCATTAATTCTTACTGGAAATCTTATCCTTTTGGACTAATACTAAACCTGATGATATAAAATTTCATTATTTATAGTTTCGCTATGATCTTCTTAATTTGGCTGTTTAAAAAGTACCAATTCTTTGCTCAGGTTTGAAAAGTTTTTTTAGACTTTTTACGATCACAATTGCTTCTTCCATAATGCAACTGTTTCCTTAACAATTATTGCCGGTACTAATATCTACAATTTACAGCGTTTACTTTTATATCTAAGCATCGCGTGCCTAATAAATAGCATTACTTTTTTTATGGTGAGTAGTTATTTCCTCCATAGAATATACATAGTACTACATGTTTGTTAAAAATTTCCCCCCCCCCCGGACATTTATCTACAGTACGACTATAAATACTGACGATTTCCCATCTTCAAGAGGAATAGTAATACCACTAGTCTCTCTTAGACAGAACTGAACCTGAAATCCATTACAAAATCAGTTAATTTATGGTAACTCTACAGAAACATTAATAGTCAGTATTCAAATAATGTCATAAAACTATACGTTCATCTATAAAAGAATGGACGTTATAGATAGCGGCATTCTTAATAATACCAAAGTATGTTATCTTACGAAAATAAAATAAACATTAGTTAGCAAAAGTCACTTATAAGATATCTATCTCTTATATAACATCTATTGCCGAAGGTTGATCTTCATAATGCTATTCGCTTGATAGATAAAATGCTTAATGTTAGTAATACCTATAATTGTCATACTGATTATCTAATTATAATATTAGCTGGCTTTGTACTTTACTATAAGCTTTAGACCAATATTACTCCGCGTTTCCTAAACGAAAAAATTTCGTAATTGAATACGTATTATATCGATGCATAATTGCTGTAACCTTACAGAATTTGCTTTTAATTATAGGCTGATAGTGTAGAACCTAGTCCTAAATGTACTTTTGAAGCGGTCATGATAACGATATCTGGTAAGTTCATTTACTGTCATAAGTATTGCATTATCAAAATACGCAGAATTTCAGGTTATTTTATTTTAAAAACCAGTCAACATTCTATACATATTGATACTGTTGCAATGCTTGCTATATTGGTAATGTGATGTTGATGTTATGGTCTTTACTGTTAGTGCAGTGACTAACATTAATCTTAATTAACATTATATAATGTTGCTGGTTTAAATTAGTAACTTTTACATGAGTATGATTGCATAAGATAGACAATATTTAGGGCCATGCAAACTTAGATCAAGGAGAAGGGAAAAGAGAGCTAGAGTAGCGTTATTCACTAGATTTGATCCTGTTATTCGTTGCAACAAGTCAGCTTTGATTAAATTTTGTTTTTAGTTACTTGCTGGCAACTTCTATTTTTAGCTAAATAAGTTGGATATATTTACGAATCTACAAGCCTAGTCATTATTAATTATCATACGTATGCTAACTGTTACTATTTGCTATTTGTATTTATTGTATAATTGTATTGAGATGCTCATATATTCGTGTTTCGATTAACTAGTGTGGGCCATTCTTTTATGGGTTATATTAATAACTTTTAATTTATACTGGAGTGCTGTTGCTAAGAAAAGTACTGAAAGATTTGAAATGTATGCCAATGTATATTCTATTAACGCAAACATATTTAAAAATTACCATAGTAGACTTTCTATCACATCTACAAGAGTTTACATCTTTAGTGAAGTTACTTTTTTATATTCATAAACTTACATTCTTAAAGTGATGATCATTGCATGATTACTATTCTGAATCATATTTATATCTTTCAAATATATAAGAAATTTTATGCTTCCCATGTTTACATCATAGTTACTACCATCTTATTGGTTGGGGTATTCCCGTAGTCATAAGTGTAATACCTTTCTCGAGTAATAAGTATGGACCAGCTGGCGTATGGTGGTAAGTAAATATACTTTAAAATTTTATAGTACAGGTCCTATACTCGTATACATGTAGGTCTTTCAGTGCTTTTCTTATAAACGTCCTGCATTAGTGCATTCGAATTTATTTTTATCCTTTTTATTATCCTTAACTTAAAATTAGCTGGATAGAAAATGACCCTGCCTGGCGTTTTGCAATGTTAGATTTGAAAAGTTTTAAGCAAATCTTGCTGCTATATGATTGTAATGATAACAGTTTACTTATTTTCAATTTTATGACCCAATAGCTGGTATGGCCCCAGATTCTTGATCATTTTCGTACTATTTTTGGTATATTTTTATATCTTTAAGTATGTTAGAAAACAGGTAAATATGTGTTCAAAATTGTGTTAGTTGATTTAAAATACGCATATATGAAGCCGGTTGGGACGAATAATTTATAGAATGGTATTTTATTTTCATTGCTAGACTAGCATGTGGACGGGTTGCCACGAAAGAGAAAGAGTCAGTTAATTTGATGTTAATTATTTAGATTACAGTCTGATTGATAATTTACTTGCATCATGATTATATCGCGTTTATTAGAGTATCTATACAACATATTGCTATGGATATATAAAGTCTTTTAATGATTGCTAGCAATTTTTGTCTCTGTCGACTAAATAGGAACTCATGCGAGAAAGTGTAAAGCCACTGATGGCGTATCCATTGGTATATTTGTTACTTAGTATTTTCCCACTAGTAAATCGGTAACTATATTAACATTTGCAGGGATTAAAAAATGCAGCATTTTTTATTTATTTATAACGATGAAATTCAGCTCCTCTCTATTTTTCAGTAGCCTCTGATTTTGCTAAGCATTAGCTCTGTAGGGTATTTTCTAATATTAAGATACAATTAATAGGATACAAAATACTGTTCAACCAGATAATGCGAGCTTTACCCTTTACCTATTACAAATTGTTTCCTCAAGTTTAAAAGGTTAAAGTCTTTTTATATTAAAATATTCAATCTTGCTTGCGTACCGGTACTTTCCCCTAATGAAGATAAGCTAATCGATGTTAATATTTTCATATAGGTGCTGGGAATGCCATTGTATTTAGTATGGACAAAGAAACATTTAAACACCTAAATTTAGCAGATTTACGGGTTAGCATTTTGGCATCTTAGGATGCATAATTGTGTCGAGTAGTACCACATAGTCGCAATATTATCGTTATACTGTATATGATTATTAACCATTACCTTACACCCTGAAAGTAACTCTAATCTTTCTAGCTATTTGATACCTCATTAATTGATCGCAAGAAATGCGCTTTGAAATTTAATCGAAGGGGTAATTCCAGATGTAATGATGAATTGTTTGTTTCAGAATGCTTGGTCACATCGTTGTTCTAAATCGGTTGTAAGAGAATATTCTACTGATTAAGAAGATTAGTCATAATGAAAACAAAGATGACTAAAGGATGAAAATCTAGATCGTTTATGAAGCCAATCCAGTAAATCAATTTAACCAGGATATTTGCGGCAACATAAGAGATCAGCGACAAGATGATATATATTGTCTAATTGACTACTATTTGTTTAATACTTGTTAATTTCTTTAATCAATTCTATGTCATAACTTATAATACGATTTAAAGCCGAAGGGTTGGATTAAAATTATAGAATGTAAGATAAAGATCACACTAAGATTTAAGATTGTTTCATGCTGGATGATAAATAGGTTAAGATGTATTTTTATGATTTCAAATAACTTTCATATAAACACAACTAAGCATATCCTTCAAATGCTAATATCATGGCACGATTTTTTACCCAAGTACAGTACAAAAATATCGCTGATATTTTGTAGTGGTTAGTCAGTGCCTTGACTCAATGGTATGATTATATTATTTTGACAGTTGATATGCGCGTACAGTATAAAAAATAAATTTTCTTACTACGATCATCAGTAGTATTTCCTTCATGGCAGAAAAGTGAATCAGTAATAGCAAAGTTTCAGTTATGCATGATGGCTTTCAATATGTGGTATAGATTGTTAGCTGATATGAATACGCGTACATAGGTAGCATGTAAGTATCATGTAGTAATAAAAATTCAATCGATAACTTGCAATTGCATTATTCTCCACATAATTCAATAATAGCTTAGGGTGATCATTTTATTCTGGTAATTATAGTAATCATTGATCTAAGAGTTCTCGTTTACAGGTTTATCTTTTATTCCTGCATCCCTGATGTCCAGGATGTAGACTTTGTTCACTGACGATATTAGATATTATGCCATTATTATATACTATAGCTGTAACACCAGAAACATCGTAGTATCTGTAAATCATTATTATATTTGGCGGTGGTTGTCGAATCATATGTTTTTTAAATATTATCACCTAATGAGTGATAAACTGGATCATTGTTGAAAATTTTCTATTACCGATATTTGCATTAAAATATTTTATTTCTGATCACATAAAAATGACGTTTGCATTATTACAGAAGAAAAGTGCTCCATCGAACTCTTTTATTAGTTATTTGTTACAAAGTGAAATCGAGTCATCATTAATTATCGAAAGCTTTTACCTCAATTCTTAATATACTAATCGTGCTATAAAACTAAAGTTTTAGTTCTATCCATAGTGTTTACCAGTTTTCGATATTATTATACAGTCAAGGTGTCAATATCTTTAAATTTACATCAACACGTTTCGAGTGTTTATCCGATTTCCGGCATATCGAATCGCTAATGGTCATCAGCATCATCAAATTGACCATCATTATTTTGATTTGATTGCTCTGTGGAGACCATATTTCCATCTTGATAGCCAGCTGTAAAAATATAAATATACAGCACTTTAGTTAACAAAATTCCTTTAGGGTGTTCTATAACTATCATCACACCGACGGTTAACGAGAGCTCCCTTATTAATTTTTCCGACAATGCAGAATTATTATTGATCTTGCTTACAATCATTAGTAGCAAGTATTATGATAGGCTACTCACAAGTGGATTGATCTTCAATCATGTGTTGAAATTCTTGCTGACTTGGCATATCTACCGAACTAGTCCCATTTCCTTCCTACAAACGATATAAAAACAAGATCGTGAAATGAGCCTACACACGAACAACACTAACGCTATAATACTATCAATAGAGATATGTCCCTGAGGTAGTGAAAACTATACCACAATAACACTACTGTAGTATTGTATCATAATTTTATAACTTGACTATACATTATTTGCATACCTCATTTATATCTTCATCTTCTTCTTCGACTGTTATTAAATAAATATTTAGGGCTTTTCATTTGAGGTATAATGTACGCTTATATTAGTTAAATGGTATAGATACAAACTAAGCTACATACCATCTTCCAAATCCTCATCTTCATCATCTGGATGTAAAGCTTGGCAATCTGCTATGGCGTTATAAATATCTTCCACTATGTTATGTGTATAATAGTAAGATTACAGTTAGGTAGTGAATGCAATAGGAAAATTCTCTTTCATACCCAGTATATATACAGTATTATTATGTAAAGCTGACAACGTTTGATATTAGAATTTTTACAATCGCACATGAAATCTACCTAGTATAATGCTTTATAAAAATACTATAGTTATTTGCTGTATGTATTGAAATGGTAATATCCCAAAAAAATCTTTCTAGACGTTATTGACGGCACGTGGATCAATTTATGTATTACTTGAGACAACATTAATAATGATTAGTACGATGTGCTTACATGATGCTTCATCTTCTGGGGCAAGGATGAGTTCGCCGACAGACTGCTCGTCTCCATTTTCATCTATCATATAGATATGTTAGCAAAAGGCAATATACATCGTTAGTAGGAATAAGTTACTGAGCATGATTATTGTTGCTAAATTTCAACACAGCAATGTTAAGACCTATAATCTAGGATAGTGGTACAGCAGTAATCATTTTTAATATTTGTATAGAATTATCTTAATTGCAAGCTAGAGCTAAAATTAAGGATAAAGAGTGGTATTTTATCTGTTTTATGAGCATGAAGATGAATTTCCTCTATTGGGTTGTTGCATACTAGTGCAATCTTGCAGATATCAGTACAGCAGTTTTAACTGTTTGAACATATTGTATAGAATTGTCTAAGTTGCAAGCAAGGGGTAAATTAATGGATAAAGAGTCGTACTTTGATCTAATCCATAAATACAAATGATAATCTCTTGTTTGCATGCTACTGTAATGTTACTGACGTTAGTGCTAAAGTTCTAACTATTTGAAGAGATTGAATAGAATTGTCTAAATTGCAAGCTAGTAGTACAATTAAGGGATCAAGAGCCGTACTTTTATCTAGTCTATTAACATGATGATAATCTCTTGTTAGCTTGTTGCATGCTATTGCGATCTTACAGATATCAGTACTGTACAGTAGTTTTAGCTGTTTGTTTGAAAAGATTGTACAGAATTGTCTAAGTTGCAGGCTAGAGGTAAATTAATGGATAAAGAGTCGCATTTTGATCTCATCCACAAGCATAAATTATAATCTCTTGTTAACTTGAGTTATGCTATTGCAATGTTCAGATATGAGTTTAGTAATTCTAACCATTTGAAGAGATTGTATAGAATTGTCGAAATTGTAAGCTAGTGGGAAAATGAAGGCATGAAAGAGTCGTACTTTGATCTCATCCACAAGCATAAATTATAATCTCTTGTTAACTTGAGCCGTGCTATTGCAATCTTTAGATATGAGTTTAGTAATTCTAACCATTTAAAGAGATTGTATAGAATTGTCGAAATTGCAAGCTAGTGAAAAAATGAAGGGATGAAAGAGTCGTACTTTGATCTCATCCACAAGCATAAATTATAATCTCTTGCTAACTTGAGCCATGCTATTGCAATCTTTAGATATGAGTTTAGTAATTCTAACCATTTGAATAGATTGTATAGAATTGTCGAAGTTGTAAGCTAGTGGTAAAATGAAGTGATAAAAGAGTCGTACTTTGATCTGGTCTATCAACATCAAGATTAATCTCAGGTTATTGCATGCTACAGTATTGCAACATCTGAGTCTGTACGCATTGCTATTTCTACGCTTACCCTTCAATTGTAAATCAAGCATGCAGTAAATGCATGGATGAGGATAAACGCTCAAATCTTTCGATACACCATGGAGCGAGATGGAAGGGTATTCCAGATTCAATCCATTACCTTCGTTGTTGGACCATGTTAACATGCTGGTAGTTAATAATCATTACAGTATTAGTATGGATATTGAACAATCGCAAGATAGTTTGCATTCATTCACGATCAGCATCATGAAGTGCAGGATCGATTAAACATTACTCGTCAATATCGTGTCCACTAGAATGACATGATGGCTAAATCATGGCTAGTTACCTTGCAGCAATGTATAAGGTACCTGTACCATAGTCTTGGTGATTGAGGACAGCTTTGCAATTTTCTTGCTTGCAGAAGACATTCTCAGTGGGTATAGCGACCTGGGTTAAAACAATCATGATGGAAGAGCAACGATAGAGATGATCGATCGACTTGCTGAGAGCCAATGGGCTAGGTAGTGGTTTTATTGTGTTTGCAACCACAGTATCCTGATATTACCAAATTGCAAATGCAAGCTATCCCTTCAATGCCTTTTGCTGAACGCGTTATATTGATTGAGATATGCAATGGATGCTTTATTTCTAGAGAATTTACTGTCTATCTTGAAGCTTCGGATATGCAATGTTGCAATTTCCTCATGAACGGGTAGTGAGGTCGGTCGAAAGCAACCTCAGCTGCAGTAGTCGTACTGCTGGATGACGAAGAATACGTAGCGCAAGTAGTATCTGTTAGGCGATACTAAACCATAGTAATTTTCTCGTTTGCCTCTTTCTGTATGAGTTCCATGCCATAAGGCGTAACCGACGGGTTTACAGACGGACAGAACATGGCCATACAGTTAAGTTAAATCGTGTAGGGCGATTATTTTACTGGTCATTTGAACTGTACCGTATGTCCATAACCATACACTATACTATCCAATGTCCATCCATGTTATTCCAAGAAGCTGACATAGGATTTTTAGCGGTAGAATGACTCGAAATATGAGGATAAGTCTGCCTATTTTGGCACTGCGTCACCATCTCTCTCTTTTCCTGACTATATCAGGAACACAAGGAATAGTACAAGTAGTCCCGATGGAAGGATGAAAGAGGTAAAAGAAACAGCTTTCCATCGAAGTCTTGATGGCTGCGTGAGCAGCTTCCTCCGTAGTGCACAAACAGTACTGTCATTCAAGTCTTACAGTATAGGGACATTTACAGTACAGGGGGCTATAGGTGATCTTTCACCATTGTCCGTCCGTCCGCATGGTTCTCAAGGTCGGGGAAGTTCTTCTGTAGTGCTATGGACGATTGGACATTGGACAGGATGGTAGCATACAGTCGTAAACTGGTGCTAGGCTCCAGTGTTCAGTAGGAGAAGGCTAAGCTACTGCGTCTACCGTACAAGTCCAACGACCAAGTGTAGCTATAGTAAGGCTGTGTGTAAAGCAGATGTCGCAAACTAGGCATTATTAATTGTGTAGCGTATAGCTTCTATACGACATCTATTTTACACAATCTAGACCGACTGAACACTATTGAATAACTTGAATGAAGCTTTAAATGAGCTTTCTGGGTAGTGCACAAACAGTGCTGTCATTCAAGCGTTACAGTATGCAGACCTGTAGACGAGTGTAGAGTACAGTATGCTATGGGGATTTTCATCATTGTCCGTCCGTCCAAAGGTTCTTAAGGTCTTTCGCAACCCTATGGACAATTGGACATTGGACAGTATGGTAGCATGCAGTCGTAAACTGGTGCTACGCACCAGTCTTCAGTAAGAGAAGGAAATCTATTGCTCATACCGTTCAAGTCCATTAGGTAGTGCACAAACAGTACTGTTATTCAACGGTTACAGTATAATGACCTTTACAATGTGTCCAACTCTGTATACAATGAGCGATTGCCACCTCTGTCCGTCCGTCCCCATGGTTCTCAAGGTCGAGAAAGATCATTATGGGATTTTCATCATTGTCCGTCCGTCCAACGGTTCTTAAGGCCTTTCGCAACCCTATGGACAATTGGACATTGGACAGTATGGTAGCATGCAGTCGTAAACTGGTGCTACGCACCAGTCTTCAGTAAGAGAAGGAAACCTATTGCTCATACCGTTCAAGTCCATGGACCAAGTGTAGGTATAGTACCCTTGTGTGTAAAGTAGATGTCGTAAACTACGCATTATTAAATAGTATAGCGTAGAGGTTGTATGCGACATCTATTTTACACAATCTTGACTGACTTTACACCATTGGAATGACTTGAATGAAGCTTTGAATGAGCTTTCTGGGTAGTGCACAAACAGTACTGTTATTCAACGGTTACAGTATAATGACCTTTACAATGTGTCCAGCACAGTATGCAATGAGCGATTTCCACCTTGTCCGTCCGTCCCCACGGTTCTCAAGGTCGAGAAAGATCATGATGCAGCACTATGGACAACTGGACATTGGACAGTATGGCAGCCTACAGTCGTAAACTGGTGCGTAGCACCAGTGTTCAGTATGAGAAGGAAAACCTACTGCGCTGACCATACAAGTCCTTGGACCAAGTGTGGGTATAGTACGCATCCGTGTAAAGTAGATGTCATAAACTAGGCCTAATTCATAGTATATTGTATAATTGATATACGACATCTATTTTACACCATATAAAATGACTTGGGAGCTAGTGACTTCAACACCATTGAATGGCTTGTGGTGGTCAGTCAGTCGTTGATCAAGCTTGTTGTTGGAAAATTTTCTCTCCTCCATATTGGAACTCTTAGCAATAGAATCCTGCTAATTGGAATCGATTAGTGATGCCGTGGTATAAGAAAAATCTTTCTGATGAAGAACAATCATCTCGTGGACATCCTTCCAATGAATGGGGACCAAACCACGCTGACGATCATCATGGTGATGATACGACTGTAACTTGTCGTGAAATGTGTGTCTATTGCTTTGATGTCCTTATATCCTATGTTCAGCGCCAATCGGAGCCTGCAAGACCAGCCTTTACCAATGATGCATAGTAAGTTTTATAGAGGAAATAGCATGATCATGTTTATTGATATCATGATGTTGTTATCATCGATGCAATTGGCATGGCTTGCATTCGTAGATTGTATCGATAGAGGATAATGTGCGTATGCAGTATGTTTTGCATCACAGCCTGATGATGATAATGCCTGCTTAAGGTTTAGTCTGGTTGGCTTCTTTCAATGCTAGTTATTCGGTATCATTATAGATGACAGTTGTTATTATGGAATATGGTTGCCAGTGATGAGCGGGTTATGATCGAATAATGTTAAAATATCGAGAAAAGTTGTCCATTTGTTGTAGCAAAGAGAGGAGAGATCCGATCACACAATACAGTATGACGATAGAGGAGAAACGCATACTGTACTCGAGTGTAGAGACTTACACCCAGGTTTGTTGACTACCTTAGCCTTTACAATACAATAGTGTTCTAGTAGCCAGCAGTCTTTTCCAACTTGCCCTTCTTATTCAATCGCAAATCCAAAATTAATTCAGCTCCATGTTGAATGAGATAGTAAGCAACGAGTTGTTGAAATCAAGCAAAGTCTGCCTTACTGGAGATAGAGCCTGATTCACCTTGAAATGATTCATAGAACGCTTATGGACTGGGAGGACGATGGGATTGAACAATAGAAATAAATAACCTTAGTTTAACTGAGTGATCAATTCTATAATACTGTTCTACTAATCGATATTACAAGTAAAATCAATCCTGATTTGGATTATGACTTGATCAACGGTATAGGCAGAAGAATGACCAATAGAAATAGCCATCCAGTATTAGAATTGATTAAAATTCCAGCTTACATGACAACTTGATTAATTAATATCCATGATACATTACGCTCGTAGCAATTGGTATGAGAAGTCAAGTAAATGGGATAGGCAGCATGACTTGATCAACTGTATAGAGTACAAGATTAGCAATAGGAATAGTCCTAGTATAACTGAATAAAGTAATGGATAGCTTACTGTTTAGTCATACCTTGATTAACGACAGTATATCAATTATAAGATCAACTATAGAATACAGGCATCGTCATCGATATTACATGTACAGTCAATGGTAATGTGTATCATGACTTGATCAAAAGCATGGAGTATACAGTAGGATTAGCAATAGAGATAGTCCTAGTACAACTGAATAAAGTAATGGATAGCTTACTGTTCTAATCATACCTTGATTAATGACAGTATATCAATTATAAGATCAACTATAGAATACAGGCATCATCATCGATATTACATGCAAAGTCATTGGTAATGTGTATCATGGCTTGATCAACAGCATGGAGTACACATCGTCATCGATATTACATGCAAAGTAAATGGCCATGTGTATCATGATTTGATCAAAAGCATGGAGTGTACACTAGGATTAGCAATGGAAATAGTCCTAATACAACTGAATAAGGTAATGGATAGTTTACACTTTACCATATCATGACTTGATTAACCGTATGAATGATAAAATCAGCTATACGCAGAATGACGAGCATCGTAATCGATATTACAAGTGAAGTAAATGATGATATATATCATGACTTGATCAAAAGTATGGAGTATACAGTAGAATTAGCAATAGAAATAGCCTTACGACAACTGAATAAAGGAATGGATAGTTTACACGTTATCATAGCAGGACATGATTATCCATATGAATGTTAAAATCAGCTATACGCAGAATGACAGTCATCGTAATCAATATTACAAGGGATGTAAATGGTGATCTGTATCATGACTTGATCAACAGTATGGACCATAGAATTAGCTATAGAAATAACTCATATTAGAAGTGAATAAAGTAAAATTTTACCTTACTGTACTATTGATCATGAATTGATTAACTACATGAACTATAGGATCAAGTATAGACTATAGTTTTAGCAATAGATATTACAAATGAAGTAAATAGGGATGTGTATCCTGACTTGATCAACAGTATAGACTAGATTATTAGCGATAGTTGTATTGGGTAATGAATAAAAATAATTTATGGCTTACTGTTCGTCGTGGCTTAATGAACAAAATGATCTATGAGATCAGCTATGAATACAGTCATAGCAATTGAATTTGAGAACTGAAGTAAATGGTGACGTCTTTCATGAATATGCGAGAATACATAGAGAAACAGCAATGAAGCCAACAATATTCTTGCTATACTTTATTACTACCTACTTAATTTACTGTAATGTTAATAAACTTCTGACTGATTAAATTAAAAGCGTCATAACTAATTATTATTATACAACCAATCATGATCGCTTTATTACCAGATTGTTGATTGAATATCGGATCTACTATAAAATCCATAAAAACAAAAATATAACGCATAAATTAGTCATAACTTATCAGGAACGGATTCCTACCATAGCGCAAAATCATTAATGTTCGTTTGAATAGATTGAATGTATTAATTAAAACGGGAATGCAAGGCGCCATGTAAGTGCATTACAATTTTACATAGCTAATCTAAATGTAAAGTAGTGATGTACATGGAATTTGTAAATTCGGTCAGCACTGACCATGATCTGGTATGTATAATTAGCCTCACTGCAATTGCAATTTCTGCGTTGTGTACTAATTTATAGCATAAACGTATGATATACTCTTACTGCGCACGGTGCATATTATATCGTGTTATAATAGGGGATAAAAGCGTTACTCTGGTTGATAACAAATCGGCATTTATGCAAAAAAATGAGTACATCTTATCAACATGAGACAGCAAAATGTAGTAAAATATGCGTTTTACGGTATACGTATTTATCCGATGAAAACGATCGCAATGGTAGTATTACTAACAGTGACTACTTTTACTAATAGCTATACAATAAATAACCTTTGGTAGGCAATACTCGATCATTCCTATATAAATGACATCATTTTTAAATGGTCATGGCTTCTTTATATGCTAAAGAAATAATTCTTAGCTTTGTCAATTGGAGCTATACCCTTTCAAACGTTAACCCCTGACAACATGTGATATTTTATAATCCAACCCATATGACGCAATAAATTAAAATAACAAACTTTAAGATGCTATTAAAGATTTAATAGCGTAGCCAATATCCCTGCTAATGTTTTGATTCGCTATATCACAATATTGCACAGTATTTACTGTATACATCCTACGAAAATGTAATGATGAAAAATAATAATTATCATTGCATTATTACACAACTGTGACAGTCCGTTATTTGTAACTTGGAAAACAAGTGATGAAAGACTTCGTGGATGTATTGGCACTTTCAGTAGTTGCAATTTGCATTCCGGACTGCGAGACTATGCGTTGAATAGGTAAGTTTTAATAAAATGATGCGTTCGTTATTACGATGGCATTAAAGTTAGTTAATTATGAATTAAATTTCAATAACTACTTTTAATTATTGGATAATGACAGTCTCTTAATATTTTAAATAACTATCATATATTCTAATTCAAGTGCAATCAAAGATAGTCGATTTGCACCTATAAGAAAGGAAGAAATAACTGACTTAAGTTGTACTGTATCACTTCTTACCAATTTTGAAGAAGCTGCAGACTATTTAGATTGGGAGGTAAGTCTAAGGAACTGTAGGGTTTTTGGGTAGTTATTATTATTTCAGAAGTGTCCTTTATTTGATTTTAAAAAGTTGATTATATTTGCGTTTACATCATTATTATAATTAGATTAATAGAATATAACTGTTGGATATTCAATTTGCCACGTTATGATAGCGAATTCATAAATTGAATCTGTTTTATTCGAATTCATAATTATTCAAGGTTGGTATACATGGAATTCGTATCGAGTTTAAGAATGAGAAAGGCCATCATCGCTCCGCTACTTACTTACCGGAAGTAGCTAAAGAACAAGGTACAGCAATATTGTAATATAATCTAAATACTGCTGAATATCGTCTTCAATTTTTGTCTACAGCACAGACTATAAGAACAAGATATTACCTTAGTAAATATAGCAACTAAGTTTTTTTCATTTATTTATTTACACAGAGTGGACAAAAATTCAAACAATAGACTCATTATTACGCAAAGGTGGTTATAGAGCTAATATTTCGCCTTCGTTTCGGTCATCAATTCGAACAACACGTTACTGTAGTCAAAAAATTACGTTAAGCTATAATGAATACTTACAACATCAGCAACAAATTAGTCATTCTGGTAAATAAAATTGAATAATATTCAGTATCTACAGTTCCCTAGTTGAATTAATAGTATGTTAGTAATGGTGGTATACTTACATGATCGAGCTTTCTTTGTAGATTTTTTTTCATTTCAAATTACATTAACCTGATTTTTTCCAAATTTGCTTGTCATATTCTGGTATTTAAATTGTTTCGTCTTGATTCTTTACGTGATTATTTCATCATGCTGCTTTAAATTTGTGAAGGGAAGAGATCTTTGCAATGGAATAGGTCATTTTGCCAATACTACATTTGTAAATGTTGCGTATATCTGATTCAGTGTAAAAATTGCATCATGTGCTATAATAATTTATGTGATTCTCCAGTCTACTCAATGATGTGTTCTTTACTTGTTCCATGTATTCATTCATTTTACCATTATCTAATAACAGTTTTTCTTTACAGTATATCAATTTCAACTATATCTCTTGTAAAACACTCCTATAATTTAATTATTATTAATATGATCCGTCCTATCTAGTTATTTTAGCTCATTTTATTAATAATTATCTTTATTTCGTATGATGAATCTAACCTTTTGTACTTACTAAATTCCGCATAGTACGCTAAAAACTTATGTTCATTTTGTAAACTTCGTTAACCTACTTCACGTGTATAAAAGTCGTGTATGTCTGTATGTCCTCAGGGTCATTGTAAATGATTTATCGTGAAGTTTGGAATAATTAACTGCCCTCAGCCTTAGCTGAATGCTTAATTAAAGTATAGCTCATTTTGGATGTTGTTAAAATACATCTTGGAACGTTTACTGCCTGTAATATATACTCGTGTACAGTGTATATATATAGCGATAAACTATTACATTGACTAAAACGATTTCTTAGTGATATTGTATTATCGGATTCCTTAGCCCGATTGAAGCCAAGTTATTACTCTAACCTCAGAATCAATAGTGACTTGTTGCTACTGCAACTTAATATTTAATTATTATTAATGCAAACGTCACACTGGAAGAGTCAGACGAATGTTTACTGATTGCAGCCGAGCTGGTTACAAGAAATGTAGACTAAATATAGGTTACTAATTGCGTTAGTTACGTAAAAATTGAATAATTTATACAGATTCTACGCTCGTACAAACTTATAGCATTCGAAAGGGTAGGTAACTCGAAATGTTATTTTTGTACCGGTTAACATCATTCTAGCAACATTTTAACGACTATTTCAAGTATCAAGTATAGTATAGCTTTAAATTTAGTTTATACTGAATAAACAAAGCAAAAGTAAGGGATAATTCTTTAGGTATACTTGATTTTTTGTTATTTTTATTTTAATATCAAACTGATGTACATTATTCTATACCAAGATACCAAGGCAATAGGGAGTTAAAGTTTCACCTAGGATATCATAACTACAAAATATAATAGCTAGTATTTTTACCAAATGCTTTATCAAAAGTATTTTCAATCATACAAAAATAGGCATGCAATTTTTATCGGAAATATAGAAGATTAATATTAATTTCAAAACAAAAAAGAATGATGTTAAACTTTTTTTGCTTATAAACTAAGAGCAGTCCATAATTGGGATTTGTCGAATCCTGTTATTCAGATACTAGTACTTTTAGTATCGATCGTTCGATTTAATTATTATACGCGTAAAGCAATAAAGAGCAAGTAAGAAATAATTAATAAGGTTTGAAATTAAATTTTAAATCAATATTCGGTATCGAGGGTTAGACTGTCATTACGTACATAAGTAAAATTTAAATGACTTAGCATTCCATAGCAAATCATCTATGCTATAGTTCTTATTCTGAACTAGGAATGGAAATTAAACATATTACACACACATCACTTATAACGTTCATATGAGTATAATAAATTTTATGACATGGACAATATGGTAACGATTAAGATACAATCCAACTAGAGCGTTGATGATATAAGTATTACCGACAATTTTAATATGATCCTGTCATAAATGGCTAAGTGGTATTAACCAATTTTCTCTTCCCTTGTAAATACCACTTCGGCAGTACCTTGGACCTAAATTATTTTACAGCAATAATAGTAAGTTCTAATGTTGATTAACTCTAATAATAATGCAGAGTTTATAAATGATGCATAAATAGAGACTTCAAAACATCTTTAAGATATTTCTATAGGTATAATTAATTCGTATACATTTATAAACATTTTATACATACCCAACCAAAGAAAACACCAGCTCCACCGCTAATATCACGAACAGAATCAACATCTAATCCTTTAATGAGAGATTGCGCTTTCTTTGCTGCTTGAAGAGGAATATTATCGGTATCGCAATCATCGACACGTCTTTTTAATCCTTGCTTGCCAGTTTTACCAATCAAAGCCTGCATAACTTTCCAATTACGAACCTCTTTTTCAGTGTGTCCCAATAATATGTGAGTTGCAATCATAATATTGCGGACTGAAGGATGAGGATTCTGATAACTACGAATTTCAGCAACGTTCGTCTGCTTTAAGTTGACAACTTCTTGTCGCATCTTTTCCAACCGTTTCAATCGACCATAAACGTTGGAAACATAATCGAATTTTTCACCAATAAATTCCTCTAAGCCTTCCTTTTTAACGTAAATGACAGCTTTTTCTACATCGGGCATTTTCCGGGTTTCAATAGCAACATCGACCAAATGTTGCCCAGTCAAACGTTTGTAAAGCTTCGTAGCGTCATCTATCTCTTCCTTTACTTCTGGGATTTCTTCAACAAGTGGTGTGACTTCTTCAATGGCGATTTCAATCTTTACTCTATCGCGAGCAGAGACGGCAGATGCGAGATTAGCTCGAAGGGCTTTATTTTTCTGCGCTCGAGCTTGAGAGTCAGCCACTTTAAGAACTTCCTCTGCTTCTTCTTTCTCTTTTTCACTAGCTATTGAAATTAAAATACACACCTTATTCGAAATTCGATCAACTAGTGCCATTTTATAACACTTAAGATTAACATAATCGTTTACAATTTCAATTTTCAATATATTTGACCATTATACCATTTAATTAATTCTTTCATTTAATTGCTCTAACTAAAACATTAGATTGAAATCTTTTATAATTACATTACTTAAATTAAAATTCGTTAAATATATACCTGCTTCAATAGCTGCTTTTTCTGCTAGTTTGCGAGCGGCTTCGGCCTCCTCAGCCATTCTCTTTGCTTCCTCTGCCTTCTCATCTTTTTCTGTAGACGATTAAATTGTAGTAAGTATAATTACGATTCATTTTACAAAATGTAACAGAAGGAATTTGTAGTATAATTTTAATACGAATTACTACCCGCTTAGATCAAAAATTACCTTCAACCTTGACTTCTTCCTCAACAACTTCAGGCTCTTTAGGTGGCTCTTCGGGAACAATTACTTCCGTCTTTTCCTTAATCAACTTAGGTTTGGATAATCTCCTAGATAGTCTTCGTTGCTTCATCAATTTCTCCATATCATTCGCTGTCGGTGGTAGGGTAGGCTGTAACTTTTCCGGGGGTTTCTTAACTATTCTCTTCTTATACTTTAAGCGCATCGCTATAAATAAATTATAAATGATTAGAAATTGATAAGAAGTAAAAATTAATCAATACATAAATAAGTATTATACCCTACAAGTAAATATTAGCAATATAACCATTCAATAACCTTTTAACAAGCTAAGAATAACAGCAAATTATAATTATTTATAACCTCGCTTATGAGCATCTAGATTTTTAATTCGCTCTTCTCTCTGGACACGCTTTCGTTCAGCGTGTTCTTGTCGCTTCATTTCTAACTCTATTAATCTTTGTTGAGCTAATTTAATTCGGTCATCAACTGAGATCCGCGGAGCAGCTTTTTTCACTGCGATAGCTTCACGGAATCGATATAATTTTGTTCCAATGTCAAGTAGATCATGATCTCTATGTTTATAAAGATTGTCTTGCTTATCTCCATCCCTTAATCGATAAGCCTTAGTGCCTATATCGCCAATTCCTCTATCATTAAACGGTGGACCGAGTTTACGTTGACCATCACGAGAAAAGTAATCTTTGTTACCGATATCATTTAATCGACCACCTTTTGGACCTGGCTTAGGCCTAAATACGCCTTGTCGCATTCGATAATTTTTAGCAGCGATATCACCAATAGTGAAAACCATTTTAGATGACTGTTCATTCTTAGCAATGATCTTCTTAGCGCGTTCTTTATTACCTCGAATAGCTGCAATTCTAGATTCAGTTTCAGCAATTATTCGAGCAATAAGTGCTTCCTTCTCAGCTATTAAGGTGACCGCTTCTGCTTCTAGGCCTTTCTTCCGCAATATGGCAACATCAGCATCAGCAAGAAGCCTTTCAGCAGCAACTTCACCTTCACATTTTATTAACTCTACTTCAACTAATCCATCAGCAATCAATTCCTCGGCTTTCTCTTCATCATTTACCATTCTAGCAATTTCAGCTTCTGCCTCAGATTTTATCATGGCAGCTAGTGCTTTACTTTCGATCCTGATACGTATTGCTTTGGCTTTACCTGCAGCTCTAAATTTAAGAGCATCATCAGCAGCTTCTTTATTAATCTCTATCGCTCTCTCCACATCACCATATAGTTTGGCTTCTTCAGCTCTAAAGTTAGCTTTTGCTAGAGCAGTCGCTGCATCGCATTCTGAACTGTATTCAGCAGCCTCCGCTTCACCTTCAGCTAGTAGAATTACAGCTTCTGCCTCGCCTTCAGCATTTAACTTAATTGCTTCCAATTCACCGTCTTTTGATTTTTCTTCGGCTTGCTCTTGTTCTCCTTTACGTCTTGCTTCAGCCGCCATCCATTGTGCTTTAGATCTAGCTGCTAGAGCCTTTTCTACAGCAGTCTTCGTAATTTCTTCGGCCTTTGACTTTGCAATAGTGTCGGATACGCGGATATCTTCATTTGTAATTGTAGATAATTTATTAACTTTATTGCTAACTTTGATCTTTTCTGCTTCTGTTTTGTATTCTCTACACTCATCTTCAGCTATATCACCCGCTTTAAGTTTCAGTAGAACTATTTCCGCATCAGCTATAGCATGAAATTCTTGACCTTCGACATTACCCTGTAAGATCGCACGGGATGCCTTAGCTTCTGCTACATCTTGGATACAATTTGAATGAGCTTCTGCGGTATTCTTTAACATTTTCGCCTCAATAGTCTCAATTTCTGTTGCCGCATTTTTGGTAGCCGCTCTCGCTAAACCGTTCGCTTTTTTGACTTCAGCTTCTGCCTGCATCAGTGTAAAAGCTGCTCTAGCTTCTGCGGCTTTTTTAGCTGCATTAGCTTTAGATATGGCAATTAGCCTAATTGCTTTCTCATCTTCGCCAATAGCTGCAGCAGCTGCTGCTTCACCTAGTTTTAATATCTTTTCTGATTCGATGTCTGCTAATTTCTCAATTAACGTACTTTCAGCTTCAGCAGTATCATTGACACATGTAGCTTCTATACCGTCTTCAGCTAAGATCATATTTGCTTTCTGTCGGTCTCCTAATTTGTTAGCGGCAGTAGCTCTAGCTTCAGCTAATTGCTTGTTATATAAAATTTCAGCTTCAGCAGAGGCCCTTACGGACGCAGACTGCGCCTCAGCTTTCTCAACAGCAGCTTTGGTGTTCGCTTCCATAACTATCTGATCAGCTTTTTCAGTCTCTCCTTTTAATCGAAGTGCTTCAGCTTCTCCTAACTTTGATAGCCTTTGAGTTTCAATGTCCGCTAATTTCTTTTGTAAGTCACCCTTAATTTTCGTTAGGGTTGCTATTTTCGCATTATCTGCTTTGTTAATAGCTAAAGCAACTTCAGCGTTAATTTCATCACTTTTTGACTTAAATGCTGCGGTTGCAGTTGCAGCTGAAGCTTCATTATATTTAGCCCTAGCATCAGCGCGCATTTGAGCGACTGTTTCTTGCATTGTAGCAGTTTGTTTTGCAGTTTTAATCTCCTTCGATGTTTGTAATTTGTTAGATTCTTTCAGATCGCCGCGTAATTTTGCGATTTCCGATGCGGTACTTGTTTCTGCTCTATTTGCATTTATCTTACCAGCAGACGTTAATTCGAAAGCGTCAGCTTCTGCTAAAGCTCTTTTTAATTCTGCTTTGGCCATTGCTTCAGCTAGTATTTTATCAGCTTCTACATTATCTCCCTTAGCTTTTGCTTCTTCGGCTTTCAGTTCAGCAAGCTGCAAAATTGTATCAGCAAAAATGCCGGCCTTTGTCTTTTCTAGATTACTTTTAATTTCTGAAGACCGAATAGCTGCCCTTGCTTCACCTGCATATTGTAGCTTGACAGCATCTTGCTTATGACCTTTAAGTTTAGCAATCGCCGCTTCTGCCAATGATTTCTTTAGCTCATTTTGAATCGATCCATCAGTCAGAATTGATTCAATTTCTGCTTCAGCGATTAATTCAACTTCTTTCAGTTTAATATTTGCTTCCTTTAATATCATTTCTGCTTTTTCTGCATTTCCTTGCTTACGGGCTAATTCTGCACTACTGTTAGCAAGAGCACGAATAGCATCTGAATCGGCTTTTGCCTTTTTTCTGGTATAAGCTATCCTAGCAGCATCTCTGAGTTCTGCCGCACGTATTTCAGCTTGGAGTTCCATCCTGATTGCTTTCTCTTCATCGCCAGAAGCTTTAAGAGCTGCAACTTGAGCTTTAACTTGGGTTAAATTTGTAGTAGCTTCATCTAATGCTTTCAACAGTTCAGCTTCGGCGTCAGCTAAAGTTACAATTTTCTTCGCATTTATTTTACCCTCAGCGATTAAATGCTCAGCTTCGTGATGGTTTCCAGAAGCTTTAGCAGCCTCAGCTTTTCGTTCAGCATTTAAAACTGCAGCTTCTGCATCTACTGTAGCGCGCATTCTAATTTCATTTATTCTACCATCGGCTCTTATTTGTTCGGTATTTGATTTATATTCAGCTTCAATGGCACCCAGTTCTCTGTAGCCGTTCTTAAGTTGTGATTGCTTGATTGCTAATTCCAGCTTTAATTTATCAGCTGTTGCTTCTCCTTCCGTAATAGTGCTATTAGCTAAAGCTTCGCCTTCAGCAAGTATTCTTGACGCTTTCATATCATTTCCTGATAATCTAGCTGCAGCTGCTTCTGCCTTCGATTTAATTAGGATGGCTTGAGCCTTGGCCTCTGATCGAATTCTTGCAGCAATAATTTCACCTTCGATCTCTATTTCTAATGCTTGTTTCTCACCATCAATTTCAAATTGAGCAGCTTCTGCAAATTTACCCTCATTTCGTGCTTTCTCTGCAGAACTTGCGGCCTTAAGTCTAACAATATTTGCTTTGCATGCCATTTCTAAACGTTCACAATCAGCCTTAGCATCTTCTTCAATCATACAGGCATCAGCTTCAGCTTTTGAAATAATTTCCAAGACTTCCGTAGAACACTGCTTTTGCAATGAATCTGCTTCTTCGATATTATTATTAGCTTTAGCCTGAGCTATTTTTAGATTATACTGAGACTGTAGTGCATTTACATCCGCTCTAGCTTTTTCAATAATCAAATTAGCGTTTGCTCTAGCAGCTGCCCTAATACTTTCTATTTCTGTTGCAGTCTCTAATAAGACTGTATCTACATTCATCTCTGTCTCAATATTGATTGCCTTAGCTGCATCTCCTGACTGTCTTGCTTTGGCAACTCTAGTAATTGCCTGAGTTTTTAATACATCAATTTCACATTCTGTTTGTAACTGCTTAGCTTCAACATCAGCTAGGGCACGAATTTTATTTGTTTCAGCGGCGGCGTAAGCTCTTATTTTTGTAGCTTCAATGGCATTGCCCTTTTTCTCTAATTCTTCAGCTTTAAATTTTTCTTTTGCTTCAAAGACTTGTGCGTCTAGCTCTTTACTTTTTAGTATGTAGTTTACCTCTGCACTAGTTTTCGCTCGAAGAATGTTAACTTCATTTTCCAATTGGATAGCTTCATGGTCTCCTTTATCCTCTACTTCAGCAATAATCACGCTTAAATTTGCCTTTAGCTCTTGCGTTTCCGCAACTGCTAAAGCGAGAATTTCTTCTGCTTCTACTTCACTCCTAGCAATAATATTTTTGGATTCCGCTTCACCTTCCAAAATGAATCTTTCAGCTAAAATTTTATCTCCTTTTTTTAGTGCTGCTTGAGCATTACTGTGGGCAATCTCATTTGCGGCTTCAGCTTTTAATTTAGCTTTCGCTTTCATCGCATCAGCTTTAACGATAGCTTTTCGTTCGATGGCATTGATTTCAACTGCAGTTATTTCTTTCTCTACTTCAATACTATCATTATCCAATTTAGATATTCTTGATTTTTCTAACAAACTAACTTTATTAGCTTCTATTTCGGCTAACCTAGTTAGTAAGGCTGAGTCGATATCACTTACATTAATAATTAATTGCGCTTCCAATTGACCTTGGTATTTAAGGTTATTTACTTCAATTTCATCATTTTTTGCGAGTGCATGTTCTGCATTAGCTTCCATTTTTAATGCTGCAAATTGAGCTTCTTGTAAGGCAACTGCCTTAACATTCTTGATTTTAGCTTCTGCTTCAAGCCTGACTGCCTTGACATCAGCAGCCGTCTCTAAACGGATTGCAATTTCTTCATTGTCATCTACGCGTGCAATTTCTGCTTCACTGTAAGCTTTGATCCTTTCGGCTTCAATTTCACCAAGAATATTAGCTTTAGTCGAATTAGCATTTCCAATAAATTTTATCTTTTCCGATTCCAATTTCGATGATTTTTGCAGTTTCGCTTGTTCCATCTTATCATCCACAGATTTACTTTTATTATCTAACGCGGCTTTAACTCCATTAGCTTCAGCAGCGGCAATACCAAATATTCGTTTCGCATCTGCTGTTGCTTTTTGTAAAACATCATTAATTTCTTGTGATGCTTTCAATCGAATTACATTTTTCTTCTGATCTGTAGCCTCAGCATTATTAATTTGATTTTCAAGAACTTTTTGCGATGATTTTAGTTCAGCCAATGCTTTCACATTTTCACAATCAACATTAGCAAGAGCTAAAATTCTAGTCGCTTCTGTATCGCCATCTGCACGTATACATTTTGCTGTTGCTTTAGCTTCAGCTAATATCTGCTGTGCATTTTTCTCATCGCCTTCTCGACGTTTAATCTCAGCTTCTTTTTCAGCATTTAAGATAGTTAGTTTTGCATTAAGCTCAGCTTTAGCTTTAACTGATTCTGCTTCTGCTTTGGCTCTCCATTGGATATCTTTTACTTCATGTTCTGCTTTTAATCTATCAGCTCGATCAGTATCACCAGCTAATTCAGCCTTGTTGATTTCAGCTTCATCTCTTATATTTTGATTATTAACTTCACCAATAGCAATGACACGATTGGCTTCAATTTCACCCATTGTTTTCAATTTTTCAATTTCGATTTTAGATGATGTTTCCAATTTATAGACTTCTAATGTGTCATTTGCAGTTTGAGCGGCTGAAATTGCTCCTAAGGTTTTGATTCTATAAAATTCAGCTTCTGCTAACGCTTCAATTTTGATAGCTTCTGCAGTTGCTTCTACAAGTAATTGCTCTTTACGTATATGACCATCAGCTTGTACATTAATTGCTCCAACTTTATTACCAACTTCACGTGCTGCTTCAATTTCGGAAAGTGTCTTTTTATCTAATATATTGGCTTGATTTTGTGAATCTAATCTTAATGCTGAAGCTTTACCCACCAGATTCAAACGTCGTGCTTCCGCTTCACCTAAGGCCTGCAACTTAGCAGCTTCTTGGTCACCTAATACTCTAGCTTGTATAACTGTTTTATCGTCACCTTTATCTTTTGCGATTTTTACTTCTGCATTAGCATATGCTAAAATTGCTCGAGCTTCACCTGTAGTGACAACATCAATTGCTTTAGCGCGGCCATCTGCTGAAATTTTTACTGCACTGCTATAATTATTGCTTTGTCTACTACCATCAGCCAACTTTTTACTTTTAGATAAAATTTCTTCAGCCTTACGTAGCGCTTCCGCTTTAGATTTACTACCTTGAGCATCACCTTGACGTTTATGCTGCAGCTTTACACTATTTCTTCTGAGGCTAAAAGCTGAATTTTTACCCGCTTGTCGGAATTCATCGGCAGCTTCTGCTTTTCCATGTTTATCTGCTGCTTTTGCATCGGACTGTGCTTTCTGAAGAGTCGCATCAACCTGGACTTCTGCAATTAAATTAGCATACTTTGCTTCAATTTCTGCTTTCGCACGTTCATATTGAACTTTACCAGTTTCAATGATGACTTTAGCACCAACTTCATCGCCAAGAGCTTTTGATAAGTCACTCTTACGTTTAGAATGTATCATTTCTACCTCAGCGTCAAGAAGCGCAAGCCTCTTTTCGGATTCGATCTCACCAAGGCGTACTGTTTGCCAATATTCAGCTACGCAATTGCCATCTAATTGCGCTGCTTTAACATTATCACCCAAAACTCTGGCATTGTCAGCTTCAGCGTTAACTCGTAATTTATTCCCTTCCGCCGCTGCAGCAGCAGTCGTTCGTATTGACACCGCTTCATTTTTAGCCAATATTCTCTCTCTTTTGGCACTAGCTTCCGCCAAGATCAAGATTGAAGCCTCGTTGCCGTTATTAATTAATGTATTTGATTTTAGTGTATTCCCTTCGATCGAAGCGACTTCCGCTTGGCCATCAAATATTTTTTGTGTAGCTTCCGCATTTCCGGTTGCCTTTACTATTAGGCCATCAGCTTCTCCCTTAGCTATAGCTTTGCTTGCTTCAATTTCAGCTTGGTGATTATATATGTATGCTTGTGCTTCACCTTCAGCTTTTAATTTTTCAGCTTCTAAGAGATTTCCCGCGGCTTGCTCTTTTTTCGCAAGTTGTGTATAATGTAATCTTGCTGCTTTACCGTCTTCTTTTGTACAAATTCTTATAGCTTCAGCGTCAATTTCAGCTAATCTCTCGACAAGTTTTCCTTCTGCATCAGCTGTAAGTCTTATTTTTTCTGCTTCTGCTTCAGACCTTGTAATAATAGCTCGAGTCTTGTTGCCTTTAATTTCGTGAACACCAGCTTCTGCAAGGGTTTTACTAACTTTGATTTCCAATGCAGCAATCCCTTGAAATTTAGCAATTTCAGCAGAAGTACTAGCTTGCAATTTTTCAATTTTGGCCTTACTCACAGCTTTAATTTTATCAGCTTCTACTTTGTCATGTTTTTGATTTGCAGCAATAGCATTACTTTTAGCTACTTGTTGTACATCAGCAACATTAACTTCTAAAAAAGCTTTAAGAGCGTGCTCTTCGATTGAAGCTTTCTTCTTTGCCGCTGTAGTAATTGCATCTTTCATCAACTGACTATATTTGTTAGCATCACCTTTAACTTTAGCAATATTTGCTTCAGCAGTGGCTTTACAGAGGTTGGCATCAGTAACAGATATTTTCTTAACTTTATCGCTATTAATCTTCGAGATTTTTCTAAGTTTCTCTTCCTCTAATTTTGCAAGTTTTAGCATTCTATCAGCTTCAATTTGATCATTTTTACTCTTGGCTATTTCAATATTGGCAACTGCTTTCTGTACGGCAGCCGCCACTTCAACTTGTAATAGTTCTTGTTCTTTAGTAACGTTAACTTCACCTTTCTTGGTAATTGCATCAGATAAAGCTTCAGCCTTCGCCGAGATAGCTTTAGCTTCTTGGCCATTAGCTTGTAAGAATTCGGCTTTTACAAGTTCTTTTTGTGATGCTGAATCAATTTCACCAATGGCTATAATATTATCAGCCACAACTGCTGCTACACCTTTTATTCTATTACTTTCTACTTCCGCTTCAGAAATTTTAATGGAAGCAGCTTCTTCGTTACCACGCTCGATATCATCTTGAGCTTCAAGTTCAGCTAATCTTGATATATAATTGGCTTCAGTTTCGGCAGTATTTTTCACTACTGTTGCTTTACTGTTTGCTTCAATAAGATATGCTCTAGCTCTAGCGTCAGATAATTCATTTTGAGCTTTAGTTTTATCTCCTTCAATTTGTGCCGCCTCACTTTTTCCCTTGCCTACTAATCTTAAAGCTTCTGCTTCTGCGATAGCTCTAACATTGATAGCTTCAATTTCAGCCAAACGCGATATTTTAGCAGCTTCCTCTTCAGCAAGTTTAGTGATATTTTGGGCTTGCAATTTTTTACCTTGCTTTAATAGTTCCGCTGCTTGATTTGCTGCATTTTGAATGACATGTGCTGCTTTTATCTTCGCTTCAGCTTTTATTATTGCAGCTTCTTCTTCAGCTTTTTCAATAGCTACATTTGCTGCTTGCTCCGCCTCAATAACAGATATTTTACCTAAATAATACTTTCGCTGTTTAGTAGCTTCATCTGCATCACCTGATACAGAATGCACTTCCATAATTCTTTCACTACTAACTTTAACTGCTTCAATCTTTTTGGCAGTATTTTTACGTATTGATTCAACACTTGCTTGACATTTCATCTTTGCTGCCTTAATCTCTTCATTGCACTGAAATTTTGCGGCATCATATTGTGCATCACCTTTAATGCGGATTGCATCAGAGTGATTATTAGCAGCTTCAGCTGAATGTGCATGCATCTCTGCTGTTAATCTTATATTATCAGCTTGTTTTGCAGCTTTTAATCGGATCACTTCGCAATCTCCTTGTATTTTAATCTTATCAGCTTCTAATCTACCTTCGATACGCTTTCCCTTCGATTCTGCTTCACCTTCTTTCTTTAAAATAGTTGCCTTCGATGGATTACCATCATCATTAATTTGATCAGCCTGATTCGAAGATATGATATCAATCGTAGCTGCATCACATTCACATGTTGCTAGTAAAGCATCGGATTCAGCAAACGCTTTTAATGTAATTGCTTCAGCTTCCCAAGTTGCCATTATACGTGCTGCTTGAATATCTCCTTCAATTTTTGCTTTTTTACTATTAATCTTATCGTTCGATTTGGCCAAATTAGCTGCCTTCTTTTCTGAGTTTGCTCGAACAGCTTTCGACTCAGCAATTGCAATTTGGCGTTTAGATTCCACTTCAACTTCATTCTTAATTTTAATAGCATCGGCTAAAGCCTTTGCTTTTACTCTTAAACAGGTGGATTCTGCTTTGGCATGTAATTGTTTCACTTCAGCCCCATCACCTTTATGTTTAAGCGATTCAGCCTTGCCTAATTGAACTAGCTTATCTGATTCAGCATCCGCTTCTGCAACAATTTGGGAAGCTTGAGCTTCAGCAAGAGCTATTATTCGTCCGGCTTTAATATCACCAACTGTTTTGGTCAGGTCAGCTTTGGTTTTATCACCTGAACGTTCCGCTACATTAGTACGACTTTCAGCTACTATCTTTTCAGCTTTAGCTTCATATTGTGCTTTATTTTTGAGAGCGTCCGCTTTAGCTTTAGCAGCTGCTTTAATCGCTTTAGCTTGGATCTGTGCTGTCATCTCTGCTGCCTTCACTGGATTACCTTTCATTCTTATTACTGCAGCTTGTCCTTCAGCAATAATTTTTTCGGCTTCAATTTTTGCTAATTTATTTTGTAACGTACCATCAATTTCAGCGGTAGCTTGTGCTAAAATTTCAATTGCTTTTAATTCACCTGTCATTTCAGTAATAGCATTTTCATTTTTTTCCGCTTTCTTTAACTTGATTTTACTTTCTAGTTCCGCTTTTGCAACAGCAACTTGAGTTAAACTTTTGGCTTGAAGAGCTTTACTTTCAGCTGCAGCAACAGCAATAATATAATTTGCGTCACTTTGAGCTTTTTTAAGGATAGCTTGCTCTTCATTTCCGCTCGATTTTAAAGCTTCTGTTTCACGCTCAACAGCTTGCTTGTCAGCGTTAGCTTTTGCAATTTCTTGTGTTTTTATACTTTCAATTTTGCCTAATTTAACTGTACTTTTAGTTTCTGCATTTTTAACTTCTTTTATACTTTGCGCCTTATGTTTCATACCAAGATTTTCAATTTCGGTTGAATTAGTTGTCGCTTTAATATTTTCCGATGTTGCAAAACCTTGAGCATGAATTTGAGTAGCACTAGCTTCGCCCTCTGCAGCAATTCGTGAAGCTTCTTGTGTTGCTTGGGCTAATATTTTAGCACAATCCATTTCTGCGGTATTTAAAACTTGTTTAATTTTCTTATTATCATCCAGTAATTCAGCTATATCTGCTTCACCACGGGCGATCATTTTGATTGCTTCAACTTTACCTTCAGCATTTATAAGTGTTTTTTCAGCGTTAGCCTTTGTCAATAATCTTTCCGCTTCTGCTTTTCTAGCTGCTTCAATTCGATTAATTTCTGCTTCAGCTTGAGCAGTAACAATTGATACAGCCATAGTACTACCACTTGATTTAGCGTTATTGACATATTGTTTAGCTGCTTTTTTAATCGCTTGAATCTCGTTTTGTCCTTTACGCTGTAATGCTTTTGCTTCTTCTTCCGTACGTTGATATAACGCTTCTGCATCGAGAATTTTAGTTTGCTCAGAAACTTTTGCTTCAGCTTCTGCTGTAAGTCGAATGGCACTATTTTTATCTCCTTTAAGCTTAGCTGCTTGAACTTTAGCCATTGCGAATTCCAACTCAGTTTCAAGCTTACCAATTGCAATAATTCTATCAGCTTCGATCATGCCAATAGCGAGAGCTTTAGTTGCATCGACTTCTCCATCTCGACGAATTCTCTCGGCTTCACTACTATTACCAGTTTTATCTACAGCTATGGCACGAGCCTCGGCCTGTGATCGAATATTAGCAGCTTCAATTTCCGCTTGTTTTTTAACTGCATTGGCTTCTATTTCAGCTCTAGATGTTACATTTTTAGCTTCAACTTGACCTTCAATTTCAGCAGCTTCTTTTTCTTTTCCGCTCTCTTTCACTGTTTGAGCTCGACCACGACCAATTTGCCGGTCTGATTCGATTGTAGCCATAGCATGTAGCCTTGTATATTCAGTATCACCGAATTTTTTCAAACGTTCAGCTTCTGCATTACCTTCCGCTATCACTTTTTCAGCGTCTCTTTGAGCTTCATCTAATATACGATTAGCTTCTTCTTCATCGAATGCTTTTATTTCTTCTGATTTTCCTTTTGCTCTTAATAAAATACTTTCTTCTTTGGATTTTGCTTGAATTAAAACAGCTTCTGCTTCACCATAAGAATTGACTTTTGCAGCTTCTGCATCAGCTTGTAATTTTAATGCGGCTTTATCGGCATCTCCTTTAGCTCTAATTTCAGCGGCTAATAACGAATTGCCACTCAATTCAGCATTATGAGCGGCTGCTTCAGCTTTTAATTGTACAGCATCGGCCTTCATCGATGCTTCAGCTTGTAATACTTCAACGTCTGCAGTAGAATTAATAATTTTAGATTTAGCTTGGCCTTCACCTCGAATAAGAATAGCAACAGCTTCTCCTTCGGCCATTGCTTGAGCTGCTTGGCCTTCGTCATCTTTTGATAATGCAATCCTTGCTTCTTCAGCTGCTCTTAACTGGCTTGCTTCTGCTTCAGCTTCAGCCATTGTAGCCGCTGCTTTCGATTCCATTTCTGCTTTTTTACGTATTGCTGCAATGTTAGCATTAGTCTTCACTTGACTTGAATCAATTTCACCTTTCATTTTACTTTCCATAGCAGCTTTATGATCACCACGTACGATTGCATTATCAATCTCTCTGTCCATTTTAGCAGTTATAATTGAACTTTTACCTTCTGCCTCGATACGTGACGCTTGAATTTCAGCTTCCAATAATATCTTTTCACATGCTAAATCTTTTTCAGCATTAGCAATAATCATTTCAGCTTGGGCACGATACTGTAAGATATCAGCATGTGTATCTTCTTGTTGTTGTAAACGTTTAATTTCCTTTTCACCTTGATCAGCAACTTCTTCCGCTCTGTTGTCTAGATCATTATCAAGTAAGGCATGGGCTTCAGCTTCTGATTTAATCTTATGATATTCAACACTTCCCTCATGGAGAATACTACTTTCTTCTAATTTCCCTTTATTGATTGCTTCTGATGCTTTGACTACGGCTTCACCACGAATTTTACAAGCCTCCACTTCACCTTTAGCGATTATTCTAGCAGCTTGTGCTTCACTTGATGCTCTTAATTTGATACTTTCATCTTCGTTGCCATTGGCTTTAGCCTTATTGGCTTGATTAATTAATTGTTGTCGGGTAGCTTCAGCTTGATGCTTTGCTTTAGCAATCGCTGCTTTTGCTTCATTATCAGCTTGAAGTCGGATATTTTCCGCTTGTGCTTTACTTTGAATAAGAACTACTTCAGATTGAGCTTGTGCTTGTAATCGTATTGCTTCAGCGTTTCCTTCAGCACGCATTACTTTTACTTTGACATCATTGTCCGAGGTTAAAGTAGCTATTTTTTTATCACCTTCAATGGTTAAACGTTTAGCTTCTGGATCACCACGGCGTGCAGCAGCTTGAGCAGCAGATTCAATTTGAAGTTTGAAAGCTTTGACTTTTAACTCTGATTCAATTTCAGCAGCCATAGAATCTCTCTCTGAACTTAATTTAACAGCATCTGCTTTAGCATCAGCTAACTTGAGAGCAATGGCTTCGTCACATTTTGCTTTAATATCACTGGCTTCCGCTTGACCTCGTGCAATCATTTCAGCCGATGCAATATGACCTTGTAGAATGATTTCAGCTGCTTTTGCTTCATCACCAGCTAAGAAAGCTGCTTTAGCATTCCTTTCAGCTTCAATCGTTGTTAATCTTGCTTTACTTTGTGATTGTAATAAACATTCTTCTATTTGACCATTGCTATTATTACGCATTACTTCAGCTTCAATTTCAGCTTTAATGATAACGGTTTCAGGATTACCAATTTTTAATTTTTCATGCTCAATACCACCTTCTGATAATGATTGTATAGCTTCAGCTTCACGTTGTGCAATTAAATTTGTAGCGGCAATCGTTGCTTCTGAAATTATCCTTTTTGCTTCAGCTTCACCAGCTTGTAATGCTTCTTCAGCTTCACTAACATGGCCTTTTCGCATGCAATCTTTCGCTTTTGCTCTTGACATCTCTTTAACATATTTTGCATCAGCTTCAGCTTTAGCACGTATACATTTAGCTTCACCTTTAGCAGCTATTCTTGTTGAATATGCTTTACCTTCTGCATTGATTTTAGCTGCTTCAGCAACCAATTTGGCTTCTTCTGATGCAGCATTGAATCGAGCTTCACCTTTTTGATTAACAGCTTGGATGATTCCTTCTGTTGCTGCTTTAATCGCTTTCACTTCAGCTTGTGAACGAATTCTTTCAACTTCAGCGCCATCACCATCAGCTAATGCAGCATCAATTTTTTCATCAGCACTATCACGTATCGATTGAGCTAACTCATTGGCTGATGAAATATCCGCTTTTGCTTTATCTTCCAGTAATAAGACATTTTCAGCACTTCGACATTGATCAGCTTTTAATTTAGCTACTTTAGCTTCTTCTTCACGTCGTGCTAATAACGATGCTGCTTCTTCTTCCGATTTGACACGACTTAATTCAGCAGCGGATAACGCTGTAATTTTAGTCACTTCAGCATCACGTTGTAATTTTAATACTTCCACTCTAGTAACATCGCCAAGAAGTTGAGCTTCAGCAATTTTACCATCATATTTTATCTTGACAGCCTCAATATCGCCATGAGTGATTGTTTTAATCGATTTCACTTTACCTTCCATCGTTGTTACCGCTGCGGTATTTTCACCATGAGCTCGTTTTTGGATAGAATCTGTTACTGATTTTGTTAAGGCAACTTCAGCAGCTATTTCACCATTAACTAATGCACGAGTAGCGGCATTCTTTTTATTGCGTAAATCCGATTCGCGTGCATTTTCTTTCGCTTTTAAGCGTACGCTAGCAGCTTCTTTCTTGCCAGTTACAATCGCTGCATCGGCAGCTTCCGACATTTGATTTTTTAACACTTCTGCATTTTGTTCAGCGGTTAACAATTCAGCTTCAGCACTTGCTTCGGCTCTTAATTTAGTTGCTTTAGCGCGTGCTTCTGCCATTAATCGTAATGAAATTACTTCAGCATCTTTAGTAATTCTTTCCGCTTCTTGTTTACCGTCGTTGATAATAGCATCAATAACTTCTTCTTTTTCACCTTTATTTTTAGCTAAATTGGCTTCAGCTAAAGATTTATTCTTGACAAATTCAGCATCTTTAATTGCTTTCTCTTTGCTCGCTTCAGCTAATGTTGCTGCAGTAGCAATGGTAATATCAGCTTCGGCAAATTTTAAAATTTTATTTTCTTTAATTTTACCAGCCATTTTGATACGTTCCGCTTCCATTTTAGCACGTTCACTTAAATGTTTGGTCAGTACTTGTCCTTCTAGTTCCATCACTTCAATTTTTGTTGCTAAATCTTCTCGAATAGCATTAGCACGAACTTCATTACCAGATGTAAGGACTTTCTTGATTTCTTGTTCAGCTTGTGCTGTCAATTGTTTAATCGATTGTTGAATCCCTTCACGTTTCTCTTCAGCTTTATCCGCTGTATATTGTAATATTTCACTTTCAGCAGATACTCTAGCTCGGACAGCTTCAATAGCTACTTTAGTTTTTAAACGTTGAGCTTTCTCTTCACCATCAATAATCATCCTTGTTGCTTCAGTAATACCATCTTTTAATAAGCGAGCAGCATCTTCTCTCCCTTTCATTTCAGACTGTAGGATAACTTGGTCATTCTTTTGGTTGATTTTTTTAACCGCTGTATCGGCTGCTGCGTCCATGATAGCAGTGATTGCAGCAGCTTTAGCATGCGATTTAACGCTAACCGCTTCTGCAGTAGTTTTCAATCTTTCCATTTCAGCTTCTCCTTGAACATTGACTGCTTTTACTTCAATATCTTTTTGTGCAAGTAATTTTGCTGTCGTTGATTGCGCTTTTTCCATCTGTTTAGAATATTCCTTATTTGCTTCAGCTTGTAAAGCAACAGCTTTAACTTCATCGCGCGATTTACGATAGCCTCGAGCTAAGATAGTATTGGATTCGCGAACAGCTGTCGCTTTGGCTTCTTCTTTAACTTTGTTGGCATTGGCTTTTGCATCTAGCATCATTTCGGTAACTTTGGCTTTAGCAGCAGTTTTAATTTGAACAGCTTTTTCCTCACCAGCAATTTTAGCTTTATCGGCTTTAGCAGCACCTTCAGCATTAATTTTTCCACATTTTGCTTCACCTTCAGCTGCAACTTTAGCTGCTTCTGCTTCACCTCGTCGTAAGCATTCATCAGCAGCTTTTTCTTTCCCTTCAGTGCGTAACTTTTGCGATTGTATCTTTGCTTTTTGTAATATTTCATTGGATTTTCGTTTATAATCGATTCGAACATTTTCAGCTTGAGCACGAGTAGTAGCAAGGATTGATTCTGCTTCACCGATTGATTTTCGAATAGCAGCCATAGCATCGCTTTCACTTTGAGCTGTAATAGCTTCGGCTTTCTCTTCAGCTTCAGCTAAGGTGGCATCAGCTTGAGCAGTTGCTTTAATGGTATGAGTACTTGTGCAAGCTTCTGCTCGAAGTTCTGCAGCTCGAATGAGATCACCATCATTTTCAGCAGCTTTCGCTTCTCGTTCAGCTTTGACAGCAACAAATGTCGATTTCTCTTCTGCTTTCAATAAAATTGCATCGCTTTTTACTTTACCTGCTTTCTCACCAGTAGCATCTAAACTTGTAAAATTTTCACCTATAACTCGTGCTTCATTTTCGTAGCATTGCTTGATAATTTCTGCTTCTTTTTCAGAGCGTAATTGATTGGCTTTTATTTTGGCATCACTTAATATTTGAACAGCTTGAATTTCAGCTTCTGCTTTCAATATCTCAGCTTGATAATTAGCTTCAGCAAGTATCTTTTTAGCTTTCGCTTCATTGCCAGCAGCTCGAGCATCGTTGGCTTCTTTTTCAGCTTGAGCTAAAACCATATTTGCATTAGCATTGGCAATTTCACGTATGGCTTCCGCTTCTCCTTTCGCTTCAGCAATAATGATACTCGCTTCGCCTTCGACACTAATCATGACTTGATCATGTTGATTTTGACCTTCTAATTCTACTAATTTGATGGCATTTTTAGCTTGATATTCTTTCAACTCTTTTTCAACATTAATCGCCATAATTTTACTTTGTGCTTTACTTTCTGCCTTACATCGACTAGCGTAGACAAAATCCTTTTTAATTTCAGCTACTTTAGCATCTGCTTCCAATTTCATGGTTAAAGTAGCAACTTCGCTATCGTGAATTAGTTCTTTCGATCGTATTTCGGCATTTTCTTTCAGTTTCATGGATTTAATTTGAACATCAGAAAGCAATTTAGCATGCTCTAGTTTAGCCCTGGTTTCTACTTTCTTGGCTTCAATGTTAGCTTTAGCTAACAATTTAGCGGCTTCAGCATTGCCTTGTGCTAATACTTGAGCTGTTTCCGCTCGAGCAGAAGCTCGAATTTGTTCCGCTTTGGCTGGATCGCCATTTTTTTCAGCAATCTCCGCTTGAGCTTCAGCAATAATTTTGATCGATTCCGCTTTACCTTCTGCTTTCAATCGAATAGAATCTGCTTCTCCTCTTGCCTTTTTATAAATAATTTGCGCTTCTTCTTCAGCTTTGATTAAAACTGTCGCCGCTTTTTCTTCGGCTTCAATGGTAATGGCTGCAATATTGGCATCGGTTTTTAACTGTTGTGCTCTACTTTTGCCTTCAGCTAACACTCTTGCCTCTTCAATTGTGCCATTAGCAGTCATTTTTACCGCTGTAGTAACATCGCCATAGCCTTTGGATCTTTCCGATTCTCGTTCAGAATTAACTATAGCTTCAGCAGCGGAAGCTTTCGCTCTAGCCATAATAGCATCGGCTTCCTTCTTTAACAGGTTAACACTTTCAGAGCAACTGGATTTTTTAATTTCTTCTTCACGTAATCGACTTATGGCTCTCTTGCGTATAATATTTTCTTCACCACCAGCTTGAATTAAGGCTACCTCAGCCTCGCCATTTTTTTGTAATTCAATAGCTGCTGCTTTCCCTTCAGCACGGGACAATAATGTATCTGCTGGTTCGGATGGTTGTGCTCCTTTCTTATTTTCCACCTTAGAAGATGGCTTACTAGAAGCAGTTTGCTTGCTGTCTGGATCGGTTTGCAAGAGTACCGCTTCCGCTTTACTTCCCATAACGATAGAGGTATATTGACTTTGAGCAGTAGTTAGGATTTTAATGGCATCCAATTCTGCTTCGGTGGTAATTTGATTGGCTTCGTGTTCCGCTTGGCGTTTCATTTCAGCAATGGTGTCGTTATGTTCACGCTTTAACTCAGTAATTTCTAAATCCACTTTAGCTCGTAAATTGTTAATTTCAATTTCAGCTGTTTCCATAATTTTTTTAGCTTCTTTCATCTTACCAGCAGCTCGAGCTTCGTTGGCTTCTTGTTGTGCAACTCTGATCACCCTAGCAATCCTATCATCAGCTCTACCTTCAATAATAGCGATTCTACGATCATAACGATCTTGTAATTTATCAATCTCTTGATCACACTTGGAAAGAACACTTTTGGCAGCTAATTTGGCTTTACGCCTAATGGTATCGACTTCATCATTGGATTGCATTTTAACCGAGCGTGCTTCAGCGTCGGCTTTACGAATAATTTCCGATGGAGTAACTTGAATTTTTGGCTTCTTTAATTGACTACCGGATTGGATACTAACGGCAGCAGCAGCAGCAGCAGTAGAAACAGTAGAAGCATCGACAGCATCGACTTTATATCGATCTTCCTCCAATGCCTCTCCAAAACTACCTACAAGGTGAAAATAGTAGGATTGAAAGAGAAGTTAATAATACATGTCTGCTGAAGTTGTTGAGCACTTGGCGTTCCATTGGATATGAACATAAGTTTAGAAATGATCCAGCCAGGCTACTATATTATTATCATGTCAGAAAGTACTGGTCAAGGTGCTAACATGGCCATTATAGCCATCATTTATAACATGATCTACAATGACTTGATGAAATAGAAAGGATTAATCTACGTCCCACAATGAAAGCTTACTTCCAATAGTACGACGCAACCTTTGACATACATTTCTACTACTGCCATCAGCTGGAATAACTACAAGGTGAATAATGACTTTTTAATGGAGTCGATGATGATAGAGATCATCTTACAGGATAGGGCATTTAGTGGTATACCGGGATAAAATACGATAGCTGACCAAATAGACTCATGGATGGCAACAGCTAACCTTGAAAGCTACGACTAACTATTTTGTATCTGTGGAAAAGGACGAGCAAAAAGTTGAACATTGACAGTTACTATTGCAATTGGCATACCGTTCATTAATAATTATTGAAAGCTGAAACTATAATTTTACTTTGTAGGAAAGGCTGAGCCGGAGTTGAATATGGATAGTCATTTTTATGATGGCAAACTCCTCAACATTAAAGCAGAAACTTTCCTTTTACTTTGTAGAAGAGGACAAGCAAGAGTTGAACATTGACAGCCATTTTTACTGCAGGAAAAGGGCGAGCAAGAGTTGAACACGGACAGTCATTTTTACTTTGGCAAGCCACTCAATATTGAAGCAAATACTGTGATTTTACTTTTATAGGAAAGAGCGAGCAAGAGCTAAACACAGACAGCCATTTTTACTGTAGCAAGCCACTCAATATTGAAGCGAATACTTTGATTTTACTTTTGTAGGAAAGGGCGAGCAAGAGTTGAACACGGACAGTCATTTTTACTTTGGCAAGCCACTCAATATTGAAGCAAATACTATGATTTTACTTTTATAGGAAAGAGCAAGCAAGAGCTGAAAGCTGACAGATATTCTTACTGTGGCAAACCACCCATTATTGAAGCAAATACTGTGATTTTACTTCTTAGGAAAGAGCAAGCAAGAGCTGAAGGCTAACAGTCATTTTTACTGTGGCGAACTGAAAGCTGACGGACATTCTTACTATGGCAAACCACTCAATATTGAAGCAAATACTATGATTTTACTTTTATAGGAAAGGGCGAACAAGAGCTGAACGCGGACAGTCATTTTACTGTGGCAAACCACTCAATATTGAAGCAAATACTCTGATTTTACTTCTGCAGGAAAGGGCGAGCGGGAACTGATGGCTGACAGTCATTTTTACTGTGGCAAGCCACCCAATATTGAAGCAAATACTCTGATTTTACTTTTGTAGGAAAGAGCGAGCAAAATTTGAGAGAGACTCAAAATGAAGGCTACTACTGTGTTATAACTTTTGTAGGACAAGACTTGCAAAATCTGCAAACCGCTTAAAATGAAGGCCAACACTGTGCTTTGACTTTTATAGGAATGGACGAGATGAGCAAGAGTTGAACATTCAGGGCTATTTTCTCTATGGCAAGCCTCTCAAATTAAGGTGGATAATGTGATGCTACTTGCGTAGGAAAGGACGAGCTACCTTGGCCATTTAGAGTTATTTTCACTATGGCCAGCCACTCAAAATTGAAAGCATATACTGTGTTTTTTTCACATTTTTAGGATGGAATAGAATAGTAAAATGGGAACAATTCGAGTAATTTACTCTGCGACAAGCCACTTTCATTTGGAGCCAACAAGTAAGATTTTGTGGGTAAGGATAGATAGGATAAGAAGAGCAAAAGCACAACATGGGCAGCAATTTATACCGTGGCAATATACTCAAATTTAAATCAGATATTGAGGGTAATGTAGAAGGATGAAGACAGTAAAAGTCTGAATTTAGAGTCATAAAGTATATGGTATGTCACTCAAAATTGTCAGCAATCATTACATTTTTTACTCTTGTGATAAAATTAATTAAGGGAACCGAACTCTGATGTGTTCGTTATTGGCTTATTGTGGATTAGATAACTACAGTAGAAATTGAGTTTTCCTAATTGATCAGATCTACTGTAGGTTTCCCTTGTTGCGTATGACAAAAATGGAATCCAATGAATTACTCTACCTGATTTGGTACGCTTTCTGATGGCCGATTTCCCTCTTGCCTCCTGCTGGCGAGCACGTTCTAAAGGACAAGAACAGAAAGGAATCATAGTAATCAGAATCAGTAGGAAGCAGCTTGACAAATTAATTATTATTGGCCGATTGTCTTTTACGAATTCGTAATTAAAGTTAACCATTAACGTACAGTAATTCTACCGTTCTATAAATGTTCATCACGACGAAAAATGCATTGAGAAAATCTCTAAATGACCCAATATTGGATCATTTAATGGAAATATTTTCTCTTGATCCGTATATAAAAAGAATGATTTAAGTTATCAATAAATCAGTATGAAAGTCAACAGATTTATATCTTCCATTTCACTTTCCACTGAAGTAGGCAGAGACTGATATCAAGAAAATACGAATGGATATCGATGACAACAAGCCTATTCCTGCGAAAGCTGGTTAAGAAAAAAATGCGCCGTCCTCATCAATGATGTCCAGCTTGCAGATAGCGTATAACTATTTTATCCATAAACTACTGTGCATAAGGAAAGAGATTTATCCAACCAGGCCTAATTGATCCTTCTTTTCAAAGTGTCTACGCTATTGAATCGATTAATACGATTGAAAAATCAATTACAACTGTGTATTTCAAAACAGCCGTTTGGACATAACAAGTGTCGATGGACGTGAGGAATAAAATAACACGGAACATAAAAAATAGGAATGACAACGGCGATTTTTAATAAACAGTCGCTTAGACATTCAGGTACTGAAGGGTGTGAAGAATAAAATACACGGAACGTCAATATATAACAGTCGCTTGGACAGGTTGGATATGCAAGGATAAATGGATATGAAGAATAAAATAATACGGAGGATGGGAAATAGGAATGACAACGGTGATTTTCAATGATTGTCGCTTAAACATGCAAACATGAATGGATGTAAAGAATAAAATAGGACAGAGGATGGAAAATAGGAATGGCAACGGTGATTTTCAATGATAGTCGCTTAAACATGCAAACATGAATGGATGTGAAGAATAAAATAACACAGAGGATGGAGAATAGGAATGACAGCGGTGATTTTCAATGATAGTCGCTTAAACATGCAAATATAAATGGACGTGAAGAATAAAATAACACGGAGGATGGAGAATAGGAATGACAACGGTGATTTTCAAAGATAGTCGCTTAAACATGCAAATATGAATGGATGTGAAGAATAAAATAACACGGAGGACGCAAAATAAGAATGACAAAGGAGATTTTAATAACAGTCTCATGGACAGGTAAGTGTTAATTTACGATCCGTATAATGTTATAATCGTTCGTTTAAAAACGGAACGTTAGAGGATTTCTGGAATAAAAGTAAAAAGGAAGATGTAAAATAGGAGTAACAACTGTAATTTTTAATAACGGTATCTTACAAGCCAAGATAGATGTGAAGAAATATTATAATACGGAAGAGGACCAATATATATTAATTACAGTCGCTTGAACATGCAAACGTTGATGGATATAAGAAATCAATTAGTACGGAAGATGGAAATATGAATTGGAACAGTGATTTTAAATAAGAGTCGCTTACAAGTTACAACCCGAGATAGATAGTAGGAATAAAAGAAGATGAAAGATAGAAGTTATTGGCGTAGTTACCCGCCTGGATTTTACCTAGTAATTCTCTCTCTTCCTCTAATTTGTCCATCAGTACCATTTCTGGCGTTGGTATATTGCATAACTCGACTTCGATTTCTTCGAAACTGACAGCAGCGGTAGGTAATGGCCTTCTGTTGATTAATCGGTTCCATCGTCTTGGGGAAAATAATTCTTTATGTGTACCTTGGCATAAAAAGCGCCCCTCCATGACTGAAATAGTCCCTCTTCTCTCCGTATCCATCAAAGAAAATTCCCAACGCAAATCTCGAGCTAAAAAAAATCGACGATCCATTTCATGGAGTACATCAAACAATTCATCAGGATGGCATGTAGTTCCAGAACAGACATATTCGATGGATGCCTCAACTTGTGGTATACTTAATTTCTCATGGCGTAATGATATATGAAGTTGTTGCAATTGTTCTGCGGTTAACTCTTCATTTAAACCAGAGCCATCTGGCTTTAGAAATATATGGCGTATAATATCTTTCTCGATAACCATGTTAATGTATTAGTGGGTACCTTGTTAAAGTCTACGAAATCGTTTTTCAACGTCTTCAAGCAAATTTCTATGGTTGTTTATTCCTCCTTGCTAGTTAAAATGTTATCCAACAGGTAGTCACTTTGTTGACTGACTGGACTCCAATGGAGATTTTTCTCTAAAGGAAGTCCAGTACGCGTCCAATTCTTGACTTTACTTGGAGTCAAATCGTTAACCAATATTAGAATGGATGAAAGATAAAATTAAATTGATCTTGTAATCATTTAAAATATATCTAAATTACTTTTATTATTATTACTTGTAGTTAAGTATCCTTTTCAGCCAAGGATATTTAACCCGTTATCGTGGTAATTGTTAATTGTTATAGTTGAACTGGCTAAAATAGTGATGTAAACTAGTGTATAGATGTACCGGTAAGACTAGCAATAATTCATCTTCCAACTACACCACTGTCCTCATCAAGTGAATAGTAGATATATAGGGCTATGCAGTCATGATGGCGTTTGCAAATAACTATAAAAAAGAAAGACCCAACCTAAAGTGAATAATATGGTTAGAAACCAGGTAGAAAATACATCACCCATCACCCACTGGAATAACAATAGCATTGATGCAATCATGTTATCCGTAAACGCTGGTGGTGTCCTGCTGGAAGGCGTCCATTTTCGTTTCTATTCCAGTAAGTTACCATACTGGAACAAGAGTCCTAATTGTAGTAGATTAGCCAAGTAGCTATTTCAATATCTCATAAACAGTAGGATAAGATTACAAGTAAATTAAGCGATAAAAATCAATTAACATGATATTATTTCCATCAATGAACTAATTAGATCCGATTTCAATAATAACATAGTTACCATTCTTCTTCATGGATTCTTCTTTTGTCAATATGATAATAATTGCATTGATTCTTAATAAATGCATGACGTTAATTCAATCTTCTTTACATGATAATGATATAATGACAATAGTGCTAATGAAATTGTTACAAAACTTCATAGTGACAAACGATTAAAATAGATAGAAAAGGAATAGAGGGGTAGACAATATTGAACGTTGGGCCGTACCAAGAAGTTATGGACAAGCCCCAAAGTCGGACAATACTTGAAATAATGTTGAAATTTTAGCAAATTGTTACTCTTATATATGGCAACAGATGTACAGTATACCGGGAAATATGCTGTCGCTAATGAGATCACTGTTATCTTTGAGTATCTGCATCACATCCATTAAAATCGATTACTGCTCCTATCAATATCATGATCTGTGTATAACATATACATGGCAGCTTGCTGCTATTTCCAATGATACAACTGTCATCTTGAAGAACTACATTACAGTTATACAAGTGAAGATCTTTATTTAGAATAGGACGAATGAAATTTATGGCATAAGTGCATTAGAAAACCTAAAATCGAATAATGCCTGAAGTAGTGTTGATATCCTAGCAAATTATTACACTTATTTATGTTATCACATACAGTGAAAAATGCTGGTTCTAATTATATGAAAGTCATCGTCAACATCTGCACGACTGTTATTAAAATTTACCTATTACTTTTATTATATTACCGTATAGTGGAAATGAGACGTTTAATCATAACTAAACAAACGAAATTTAGGACGTAAGGAACAAGTCTCCAAGCTGAACAGTACCCGAAATAATATTGAAATGTTAGCAAGTGCAAGACGCTGATTCTAAAGGTATAACTTTAATCTTGAACATCTGTAACGAGTTGGAGTAAATGCTGAATATTTTGTTATTTTTTAGACCTGCTTACACGAGTCTAGAACTTTTATAAACTGTAATAAAGCAGATTTTTATCTGCATTCAGTTGACTAACTTTATTGTGAGCTGTAGAAGCAGAGCGGAATAAAGTATAGTCGACTTTATTACAACATCTGTATAACAATTATTAAGTTAAAATCGAATAATTAATCCTATTTATATCATTGTATACGATGGATAATGTTGTTTCCAATGATGTAATTTTCATTTTGAAAATCTGCATATAACTACTCAAATGACTATTTTTAGTCAGACTGTAATAAATGATAATCATAGAAGAAGTGTTATGGTAAGATCTCATTGTTAGGCAATGCCCAAAATAATGTTGAAATCTTAGCAAATTAATGATCAAACTTATTTTACATGATCATATCCTATGAAAAATACTGCTTTTAATGATGCAATGATGAAATAAACTGATATTATCCTTTTCTTTGCATTAATCATGATATGACTTCTACAATGACGAGCAAACTTCATTTATTGGTAAATTGCGGGAATCAATTGCAAGTCTATTGGTCTGGGTAAATAATCATCTATTAAAATTGTTAGAATTAACGAATAACAGCTTGGAAAACTAACAACAGAAAGTGACTTTTAGAATTGAGATAGGATGCCACCACAAAAGTCACGCTAATTCCGCTAATGAATTAATCCAGTGACCTCGTCATTAAATCGATTCTGAAATGAACATGAGTACTTCCATAAATTAATTTGCAGAATCTTACTCGGCATTAATCTTGTCAATGAATTAGAAAGGCGAATTTGATTAAGCGGTTGAATTAAATAAGATTAAGCTAATATATTAAGGCAAGCTGACTAGCTGTACTATAAATTATGGGTAAAGTCGAATTACTTGTACTTTAAACTGCATTACTTCAGCCTATAGAATGCTGAAATTGATATGATTTAATGAAAATTTTCAAACAAGGCAAATTAATACATTTAGGGCACATCATATTTGAGAGATATCCTAAAACATGGAGCAGCTGCAATTTATTTTCGAATAAGTGGCAAATGATCTTGTTAACGCATTTATTCATGATTTCAATAAAGTAATATAATTTTACTATAGTTATTACTGATCTTTCACTTACGAGCCAATATCCTTAAGTTATCCTTTAGCGCAAGCATCATCTAGGGACTACGAGTATTAAATAGTGGATACTGATTTGGGATAAGGTGCAAGATGGTCATCAATACATTTCATGCCATTTAGTTTTCTGTCTAGACAGTTGGATTTTAAATTTTGAAGCTAAATTTAAAGGTAAGAGGATAATATTAAATTAATTTGAGTCCAGACACATACGCTAAAATAAAACCGGCAAACTGCGATTTTTACCCACAGAAAATAAGTTAATGATTATTGCAAAAATGACTATCATGTATATTACCCATTCTTGAGCTGCAAGCCACTAATTAGACAATTGCTCTCTCGATAAATGGCAGTCTTGATCATCGATCCTGAGTTGACAAAATTCTATCAAGCCATCACATAAGTGCTCCAGGGTGATAATATCCGTCCATATGAAATTGATACTTCAGGAAATTTAATGATATGATTTTGAAAGACTTGTGCGGATGAGAAATTGCCTAGTAACGCCTTAATTTTCTTTTCCTATTAACCATTAATTATTTTATTTCCGTTACTATATCATTAAGTAGTCTTTACAATAAGCAATTTATTAATATATTAAAAAAAATGATCTTGATTTATAAGAGTTGACAATGTGTTATAAATGTTCAATCAAAGAATATCAAGACCTTACGTCACCCTTAACATTTAAATTCTTAAGTACAACTTGATCATAGCTATCAGCTAGAAACTATGCTTGCATAGCACAATTCGGTAAATAATTGTATAATTATTTATATCGATCTAGTTTTGCAATCATCATTAAGTAGCAAGTACATATTTAAATTACATCTAAAGCTGACTATTTGGCGATTTCTTTTGAAGTGGTCCTCTGTAATATTTGGATTAAATATTACCAGAATCTTATAAAAATATAGAATAGCTTTATATTATCGCAACAAGAGCGATAATACTGCATAAATCTGAAGTGAGTAGTTTAGAACTTCTTGATTTAGCTTAACTTAATTCTATGGTAGTGGTTAAATATATATTTATCATTCTTCATAAGCCTTTGGTAGAAAAACAATACTGGTGGCTAGTAACGTTGTATGCTATACGTATCTGATAGTTTCTACTAGTTTACATCAATCAAAATTTTAAGAATTCAGAATTTTATATTTTAGTATTCCAATACAGATTCAAAAATTCTCCATTATGAACATTTCTTATGATAAGATTAGAAATAATCATGAATTTATAGGAGTAACTATGTCTCTAAATCTTTCCTTATAGTAAAGAAAATAGAATCCTACAAATGCCAGTTTATGTTAATACTGCCGTACTCTGACAGAGTCATAGGTCAAATATTAGCTTTGCTTGATATATAAAATCATAATACAAACGATAGAAATCGTTCTATTTATCTTGTCGACTTAATAATCAGCCGAGCAGTGAAAAATCTTAACTGCAGTAGAGAAAAGATGCTAACGTCTCTTGTAGAGTCTATACCTAATCAGAATTTGTCATCCATATGTTTGCTATGTTAGGAACGTTATATCTTCAAAGATAGCCCATATCTTTAGTACTTTAAATTTGTAGATATTAATAAGAATGGTCATTTTTGATCGAATAGATAAATGCACTTGTGAATTTTGCTATGATGCCTTATAAAAGTGTTTCCGAGACAATGTCTACTTTACGAGTTAGGAATAGCTCTAACTTGCAACAAGTTTTGAGTGTTTTCCAACCTTCACTACTGTAGTTTGGAATAGCAATCAGTTGGTATTTCTAGGTAGATATGTACGGATTAAATACCATCTAATCCTATTAAATTGACCAATTCTTAATAAAAGTTCAGCTAACATATATTTAGCTATGCTATGAAGGTATTTCATCTAAACTTAGAAATTGTACCTTCAACCTTAAAATCCTTCAAGGTGATTGATACAATCTAGTTAAACTAGCTGGCAATTACTATTTTAGTCTATCTTATCCTAAATTAAGGATTGCTAGCACATCAACTGTTAACTGCTAAAGTTATAATTAAGGAGACCGTAAGCATTACTGGTATCGAAACATATATACTGTAGAAGGTAACATAGAAATAATATACACGTCACGAAGATTACTTTTGTG